TAGAGTCAATACCTGACAATCTACAAAGTAAGATCACATTACCGAATGATGATAAAATCTATTTTCCAACAGAAAGTCCTGATAAAGTTGAGACGCAAGGACTGACTAAAATATTAGATCTTACAAGCAAAACTTCAGTTGCAGTGACTAAACAAGCTGAATTAAGTACAAATAGGTGCTCTGGACTGAGTTGTAAGAAAATTTTTACAGATTATTTGATTTTTACTTCGAAATGATTAAAAAGTTTATTATTTTTGTGTCACTTATTTATTAATGACACTTATGAAGTCCAGTGGAGGAGGAAGGGGGGAGGGCGGGGGGTTTAAGCACGAAAAGAACAATAAAAATCAGAGATTGAAGTCGTTTAAATAGGCGGCTTAAAATCGGTTTACTTAGGGGCTCGTTCACTTATTACGTAACGCAAAAAAACGAGTTTTTAGACCCCCCTCCCCCCCCCCCCTGTAACAAACCGTAACAAAATCTTAGACCCTCCCTCCCCCCTTAGTGTGTTACGTAATAAGTGAACGAACCCTAGCTGTTCGCCGGCTTAAATTTTTGGTTCACATAAGCCGATTTGTAAGCTTCGGCCAGGGGGAAAATAACTTGGTGTGAAACGTGTACGCCATTTCACACCAGAGTTGTGAAATTTCACACCACTGGCGTGAAATGGAGTGAAATTTCACACCACTGGCGTGAAATAGCATACATTTTTCACGCCAATATAAAAAAAAATTAAAATACATTTAGTGATTTTTTTTACGACCAGAAAGCCTTTCATTTAATATTCCATTAACCATTAAGGTTTGAAAATAAACTTTTTTAATTTAAATAAGTAAACCTAAGATAGTTTTATAGACAGTTTAATGGTCTTCTTGTCTTTTTATATGACTAGTTATAATTTTCATGTGCCACCAAGTCCTTATCCTTCAAAATTCGAATTTTCAACATACTGTTGGTTTTTTAAATCTTCGTAATAATTTTCTTTTAAAATCCTACAAAACTTGTCTTCGTTAGTTAAAATTAAAATAGTTTAATTGATGGTTTTTTGAAAAACATTTTTCATAACGGTCAAATTTAAAAATTTTCCTCAGGTTTGTTTACATTGACAAGTTATTCTGTGATTTAAAAGATCACCTACAACTCATTAGCTACACACAATTGTGAGCTTTAAACATTTAAGCTGCATTACAATGCTCAAAAGTAAGTATTGTTTTTGTTTAATCGTGTTTTTAAACATAAACAAACAATTTTTTTTAAAAAAAATCATTAAATTTTGATAAAATAAGCTGATTTTTTACAATTCTAACACTCAGATGTGAACTACAAAAGATTGGGTTAGAGTTTAAGACTAATGAGTTTAGTGTTTATGAATATTGATTTTAGCTCTCTAGAAGTTCTCGAGAAAATCAATAGAATTCAAATTCTTCATGATATTGCGTTTGATTTGCGAGAAAACTTTGTTTTGCCTGAGAACGAAAAGATCAAATCTGATAGTTTGATTTCGAATGATGTTCCTGTATACTATCCATCAATTGAAGAATGCAAGACTGTTTTAGGAGTGTTTTGTATTTTCCCGAAAAGCAAAATAACGAATAACCGTTATTACGAATTACAAATTTACGAATGCTCATTTTTACGAAAATTTTTATGGTAAAAACTTATAGGATATAATTTGAATCTCAAAAAACCGTTGGTTAAATCAAACATTAAAAGACAATTTACATCAATTTCATCATTTAAATGCGAATAGATATGATATAATAATTATGATAAGATGAAGGATTAATAGAACTACAAAAAGATTTGCATTTACTTAAATGTGTAATATTTTTTCTTGTTTTATGGGTAATTCCATGAGAAAATTTTATAGCAAAATAAAATTTTTATAGAAAAAATATTTCGCATTTAAATAAATGCAAATCTTTTTTTCAGTTCTATTAATCCTTCATCTTTTACTAATTATTTTATCATATCTAATCGCATTTAAATGATTAAATTACTTTTAACTGTCTCAATATTTGATTTTATCCAACGGTTTTTTGAGATTCAAATTATATCCTATACGTTTTTACCAGAGATCGAAGCCGATTTTTTCGGCTTAACTCAATTTTTGATTTTTTTGATAGAAAAAGCCATTAAACACCCATTTCAAGTATTTAAATTGAACTTTACATGCTTTACTATGATTCTGTGAAATATTTTTTCAGCATGTAGCTATAGTGAGCTCAGAATTTCAAGTTAAAGAATGTTAAGCCGAAAATCGGCTAAATTGAAATTCAGAGCTTACTATAGCTACATGCTGAAAAAATATTTCACAGAATCATAGTAAAGCATGTAATGTTCAATTTAAATACTTAAAATGGGTGTTAAATGGCTTTTTTCTATCAAAAATTGAGTTAAGCCGAAAAAATCGGCTTCGATCTCTGGTTTTTACCATAAAAATTTTCGTAAAAATGAACATTCGTAAATTTGAAAATTCGTAAAAATTGTTTTTCGTTATTTTGCTTTTCGGGAAAATACAAAACACTCCTTTTTAGATAAAGCTTCCAAAGATGCTGAACAAATGTGATTTGTCAGGAACTTCAATTACTCAAAGGTTCCTTAGTTTACTTTAAAAAAATTAAAACATTATAATAATTTTAAATAAATTTAAAAGTATGTCAACTTCTATAAAATATTAAAAAAAAAAGACTGTTAATTATTTTTTTTTTTCGATTAAAATTTTCACGACATTGGCGTGAAATTTCACACCACTGGCGTGAAATTGGCGTGAAATGACGTGAAATTTCACACCATTGGCGTGAAATGGTGTGAAATTTCACGTCAGTTTTGTGAAATTTTTGGCGTACACGTTTCACACCAAGTTATTTTCCCCCTGGCTTCGGCTTAAGCCTGTCATTTTGTTGCAAACAGACTTAAGTAAGCCGCCGACCTAAAAGTCGGAAGCTTCGATCTCTGATAAAAATTCCTGAAAAATCCGATTTTGTTTTTAATTTTTGAAAATGACCGTTAATTTTGGATGTCATAATGAACGACCGCTTAAGTAAGCTATGAGTAAGTTTTTGACTGAATGTAAGCTAGTGTGTATTATAACACTTAGAATAGCAAAACATATCTTCTTATATGTAAACATCCTGACTCTAGAACAGAAACCGTGTGAAGCCAATGATTTGGAGGCTGTGAAGACATGTAAAGTTTGTAATGCCATATAAAGAGGTCCAATGTGGGGAAGCAGAAGATTTTTTAAGCCATTTGAAGTTTTGTCGGAGGATTAAAACCAAAACTCAAACTAGCAACACGCCACGGGTGCCACCGAAAACGCCTATTCGCTAAATAAGAATTAACTCATAGTTTTATAAATTTCTGACTTATTTGAGTCAGACTTCCTATTAGCATCATAAACGTCACCAATATCAGCATAAAAATCTTCGTCACATGGTGCAGTTGGGTGCTCAGAGTCTGCTACGATATTGTAGGTTTCATATTTGGAATCTATTTTTTGAATTTCCTCGTAGTTATGCTCAATGTTGACTTCCTTACTTAAAATTTCATTTGGTGAACTGACTTCAATGTCTTGATTTGAAGCTGGTTTTAAATATTCATCCTTAAAAATTGAAATCAAATGTCAAGATGAGCTTTATTTCAGTATGGTTTGGGGGGGGGGAGTAGCTGTGTGTCAAAATTTTTTTCTTGACTGATTAACTCTTGGAACTGATTTTGATTATTTTTACGATTTTAATAAACAATTTTAAAACAAAATGTCAAGTGAATAATTTCTCCACAAAGCTATGTCCCCCCTGAATAATTCATAACCCGACAAACCTGATTTCTTGGAGATTTCCTGCTCATCATAACAATAACAACAGTTATGCTCAAAATAATGATGAAGATTGAGTTAACAGCTGTCAAAACTGCCAAATGACTTGCTTTGAAGTCACCAATAAGCCATGGAAAATCGGAAATGTAGCTAGCTTGTAAGTTATTCAGTTCAGTTTGAGGATTAGTTCTTATATTGTCAAATTGAGTCTGCAGTGACTCTTCGATGTGTTCGACATATTGAATCATCTTGTCTATAGAATGATTGTAACAGTGAAGCTTTACAGTATTGATATTTGACTGAGCCAGAGTAGAAGCACTTCCATCGTCCGAATAACATTTATTATTGAAAAATCCAAGAGTTATCAAATCATTCAAATTATCAAAGGCAGTTGGAAAGACAAAGAAGATTTTATTGTTGTCAAATGAAACTTTCCTTAAATTTGTGTTGAATTGAAACAAATTTTCAGGCAAGACTTTAATGTCATTGCCACTTAAGTCCAAATAATCTAAATTTGTGAGATTTTTGAGATCATTTTGAGTAATTTTCCTCATTTTTGAATTGACAATTTTAATTTCTTTGATTTTTGACATGCTTTCCTCAATATTATGTGGAAAATAGAAGATTTCGGACTTGTCAGCTAGAAAAGCTTCAAATTGATGAGAATTTGAGTTGGAAATGAAAATTGCTGTGTTTTCTTGATGAATAATTAAAGTTGAGTCAACTGAGCAGTATGATTTGGTTGAAATTGAGTCACTTTGGAGAGAATGACTTTTACATAGGATTTTTGAGTAATTCCGATTTTGTGATGAGCGATGAATCATCAAAAATGTTATTCTAGGTTTAAATTAATTGTTTACAATTTTCTCAAATTAATGAACAGTTTTTTAAAATACTTACAAAAGAAGTTGAGCTTTCGATTTGGGAAATTTCATTTTATTGTAGAAAAACTTATGCCAGATGAACACAAGAACTATATTTTGAATAGAAATGCTTTTATAATTTGATCAACGACGGCTAGTGAACAAATGAAAATTCAGAAAAACACATTCGCTAGTGACAGGGGCGTAGCCAAGAATTTAAAGAGGGGGGGGGGACAAAATTTTTTTTAATTTGAAAAAGTTGAGGGTTCTAGGTTTTTTCATAAAAAACCAGCGTTCCACCGTCACTCGCCCCCCGCCCCCTTGTACTCCAGACCCCCCAACCCCACCCCATCCACCCTGGCTACGAGCCTGATTAGTGACAAACATTAGAAAAAGAGGGGAGGATTTCGATAATTCGACAAAACAGGGGTAGTTCACTTATGACGTCCAAGATTTAGGAGGGGGGGGGGGTCAAAAATCATTTTTCAACTGACGTCATTAGTAAATGACCCCAAAACAATCCACGTGATTAACAATTGTTTTTTTGAATAAATATTTTTTATTTGTCTTTGCTAACTTGAACCATTTCTCGTTGCTCCTCCTTCCTGCTTAACACATACCATTCTTTAGCTGGCAAGCTTTGAAGATGTAAAATTAAATTCTTAATAAGGAAGAACCAAACAACTCCATAAGCAACATTAATTCCAATTTCAATATAATATCCTTCAATGTCTGTGTGACATTGTCCTCCACTTTTTGCACAAATTTCCTTTTCTATCTTGTCAGAGCATTTATTGTCTAGCGGTAAGGTTGTTGAGTTTGATAAAAGCAAGTCCTCATCGAAAATGCATCGTCTCCAAGTTATTACGTCTACGAACCATAAAAAGAAAGTTTGGATCCACGAACCGCCCAAATTAGTGATTGTATTCATGAGGGTCATGTAAGTTCCTCCTATCAATGGATCACTGATTTTTGCAAAGAATGACATGTCACAAATGTACATTGACCTGAATGGAATCTGAAAAGAATGTCAATAAATAAATGAAGCACTAAGATTAAAGCTATTGTTGATGCGTACCTGATAAATCATATAAATGCATACAAGTAGTAAATAAAAATAGAATGGAAATCCATCGTCAGTCTTCATTTTAGGTGTGAAGAATACAAACAAACCAATCACAATAGTCATTAACAACCGATAAGGGAAAGCCTTGATATAAAAGCTCATTGGACGGGGACCAGCTGTATATCGGGATATGATGAATGGTAGAACTAATTGAATTGGAACTAGTGGAATAGCTAGTAGAGCTGCCTTTTCTTTTGGCATTCCGTACTCAATAAGTTTTAAGCTAGTCACAACATCACATGCCGCAAAACCAGCCTTAGCAGTTAAAAGGAATAAACTCAACTTTAAGACTGGTTTGAGCTTCACAATTTCCCATAAAATTGGATATGCTTTCTTTACACCATAATCGGGATGTTCTTCTAATTCATAATCCAGTTCTGATCGTTCCTTTTTGAATATAGCAATAAATACGGTTGTTATAAGGAAAATAATACCCCAGAATTTCAGAAATCCAGCTAAAGTAATCAGTCCCTCAGTTCGTGGTTCCGAAAAGATGTATTTATTGCAAAATTCAGGCGATTCAAAAACCAAAAGAATCACGTATCCAATAAACCTAAAATAAATAAAGATTTACAGTCAATTTTGTCTTAAAGAACATACAAGCTTACCATCCGCCCGTTTGTCCACATGAGTTTGTAGTCTGCAAATGGAATAAAAATTACAAAATTTATAAATCTTAAAACCAGTTTAGAAGCTGCCTTAACAGATGTGAACAGATGAGTGCACGGAGCCAGCCAAAGTGAACATATAAGTGCATTATATCCAAAGGAAAATGCACTAAACATCAACTTACAGCAGCATATCCAACATTTCTCCTCTGCAGCATCGTAAGGCACCAACCATCCACAACAATATCTTGAGTTGCAGTCAAAAACCATAAAATGAAGAACACAACAGTCAACAAGATGATTTGTGGCTCATTTCCTTCACCATCGCCAAGCCATTCATTGACATTTTGTGCCAATATTATCATGAAAGAACCAATCAAAACCTGAACGGGCACCAACCAAGATTTTCTACGACCAAATCTTTTTACGTACAAAGCATCGACGATGGGACACCATAAAACCTTCACTATCAATATATAAGTTAATTGATAATTAAGTTCAATTGTTTTGAGCTTCCGATAATTTTATAAGAGATGGGGTCATTCATAAATGACGTCTAGGATTTAGGGGAGGGGAATTCAGGGATTTTGTGGCAGTTCAAATCAGAAAAGTAGTTTACAGTGACAGGGGTGGTCTGAAAGTCTCTTTTTCGACAGACGTCATTTATGAACAGCCTTCAAACCAATCGAATGAATATTTACTTGTAAATGGATATGCAGCAAATGAGAAAATTGCCTGTTCCTTATAAGAGACACCACGATTTTGTAGTAAAATTCTAACAGCACTACTAATGCCCAGTGGAATGCCTTGAAGGATGTAAAGAAATAATAAAATTGCGACATTTCTGTAGTCTCCCTTTAAATTTGATTCCTCTTCTTCCGGTGCTACATGACCATCCACAACAACTTTATTATTGATGTTCTCTTCATCTTCACTTTTGTCTTTTTGGTGCATTTTATGATTTATTTAAAGCAATTTGGGTCAACTGCACTTTAACGGAAGCTTCGATTCAATTTTATGTACGGTCGCTTTAACGATTCTCGGCAAACTGAACAGCTCTGAATACTTCAAGTACCTCAATATCAATGATGATGCATACAAGTATCTTATCAATTTAAATTGATAATAATGTTAAGTGATGTGATATTGCTTTATAGATTAGTTTATGGATGTATGCTCGAAAGAATTAAATGAACATGCTTGTGCCATGTGTGAGTATGCTTCATAATCGTGGGAACTTACGCACTGCTATCGTATGTAGTCACTATTTTCTTTAGGTCAGATTGATTAGAAAATTTCACTTGGATAGAAAATTTACTGATAAGACAATTATTAGGTTCCTATAAGTTAGCTGTAGTCCATTATTATACTTGGAATAGCTTTGAAACTTAGCAATTTTATTATAAATCATTTAGACAATTTTATCATTTTATTTTAAGTTCTAAGTTGGGGTCCGTTCACTTATAACGTTACGAGAAAAACCGACTTTTCAGACCCCTTTTTCCTAGTCACAAAATTTCTTTTTGAAGTGTCACAAAGTCTCAGGAGGGAGGGAGGGGGGGGGGGGGCAAAAGTGTTACGTAATATGTGAACGGCCCTATGGGCTTACTCACTTTCCTTAGTAAAATTCCAAAAGAATCAAGAAAGTCTAGTTCCAATTTATTGTTTGGAGTTGTTTCATTTATGAAGTCAATCTCGGGAAAGTTATCCCCCCCACCCCCCCCCTAATAATTTAATTATTTCTACAGGAAGTTTAGCATATTTGGTAACACTTAGAATTGCCCCCCCCCCCCTCCCCCCCTCTACCTTCCCCCTTCTACCTCCCCCTCACACAGAAATGAATTACAAAAGACTTATTTAAACAGATTTTGAACTTATTTTTTTTTTATAATTTCTAAGCGATCGTTCGCATATTTTGTAACTCTAAATCAGTGTTTTTCAAACTTTTTGGTCCGCGGAGCAGTAAATCATCCGTTAATGTTTTCGTGCCACGCTGGCAACCACCATAGACACATCAATATTGTTTTGCGGAACAGTAAAGCTCCGCGGTGCATTGATTGAGAAACACTGCAATAAACTATCTCTTTTAACCCCCTTTTCCTTCTTATATAAAAAAATAATATAAAGCATAAGAAAACTTTGCACCTTCCTAAGAGGTTACAAAACACACAAGCGCCCCCCAATTTTAATACCGCTCCTGTCTATATACCACAGCATAACTTTCAGACGCATCATTTCCAACTGAATTCCTTGCTTCTTGATCTGCTTCATTATAAAAATCCTCAAATGACGATCTTGCTTGGACATTTCCATCAATATACTCATACCGTCCATAAATTGAGTCATGATTTAAGTTCAATGGTGTTGGAAGTGGCGTTTGGTTTATTGACTCTGCCAAGTGTCTATAAGTTGGTGCATCAATTCGCATTGGCTTTGTGTCTTTTTGTGACTGTCTTTTGCAGCATAAATAAATGGCTATGGCACAGAATAAGATGATGAGGGTTAGGTTGGAGATTAAGAGGTAAGTCAGGAACTTTGCTGGGGTTTGGTTAAGTATGTTGTCTGGAATTGAGGAACTTCCATACGTTTGATTGATATTTAGAACAAATCCTTGAGTAAGATTGAATAAAATAGAAATGCTCTCGGTCAAGTTCATCTGCTGATCTTTAATAGTGCTGATATCCTTCATAATACCATCAACAACGCTTAATATGTTGCCTGTGTTATTAAGCCATTCGCCAAAATCTGAAGTATTTTTAAAAATTAATGATAAATTGTCATCAAATGGCGAATGAAGTGTTGAAGCATGTTCAGCATTCTTCTCCTGGTCTATAAGACTGTTATTGATGATGTCCCGTAACTGCTGGAGTTCACCCGAGACATTCAGTCCTAAAATGTGAAGGTCTGTCGATAATGTTTGACATTGAGCATTGGCTGAGTTGACCTTTGTATCTACAGCTTCGCATGTGCTTCTTATTCCTGCTGGATCTGAATTTTTTGATGACTTTGGACTAATTTTATTATCCATGCTTTGAACTTGTTTTTCCAGCTTGTCTTCAATACTTTTTTGCGTCTCAAATAGTTGCGTCCTAAGGTTCTCAACTGCTTTATTGTGGGCATCAAAGGTAGTTCTAATGTTCCTATTTTCCTCAACTACAGCAACAAGTTTTTTCTTAAGAATTGACATTTCAGAATTACTTTTGGTCACTTCCTTTTTTATATTTTCAAGGTTCATTGAATGCCGGTTATTGTCTTCAGAACAAGAAAATTTGATGGCATCAATCATGTTTTGCACTGCGCTAGCATCTTTTGTCATGTCGGAAAAGCATCGGTTCCTTTGAAATCCTAAGAATTTCAGGTTGTATAAGCCGTAAAATGTCAATTGATCGACTGTGCTGATTTCATTGTCATTGAGTATTAAGACTTCCAATTTTGAGTTGAATTGAAAAAGTTTGCCTTCTAAAGTTGCAATGTTGTTGCCGGACAGGTCCAGATACTTTAAAATCCGGAAAGGTTCAAGATCAGTTGATGAAATTTCCTTCAATTCAGACTGGATAACTTCCAACATTTCGAGGTTAGGAAAGAATTTAACGATCCCTTTGGGAAGATAGAAGATGATTTTGTTCATAATTGAGAGTCCTGGGATATTGACGTAAATCTGATGACTTCCAATCTCTAATTCGACATTTCTTTGGATGACATTCAAATCCTCTCTAACTTTGCAGGTATGAATATCGTTAAAGGAACGATAATTTTGCTGAACAAATTGGCAGGAAAATTTCGAAATTATATTTTGTTGGTCACAGTTTGCAGCTCCTAACAAAAGTACGACTCTAGAGAATAATAATTAAATAGAATTTAAAAATTAAGTTTCACGTTAAATCTAAGCCTTAACTTACAGCATAAGCGATGCCATCATTTTGTTACAAATTGTGTTTTCTACTGAGTTTATCAACTAAATGTACAATAATTATTCTGAGCCTAGCAATTTATTTTTAAACTTTTATTTCAATTTATTAAGCTTATTAAAAAAATGGGGAACATTCATCAGTGATACTAAATGTTAAATTGAGAGGGGGTTCTGGAAAAAAATTTGAAATTTTTGTATGAAAAATATTTCACAAAGAAAATTTGCGGAAGGGAGTGGGAGAGAGGGGGGATGTTGGTGTGGTTGTTCAAAAATTCATTAGTCATTTATGAACTATCCCTAATCAAAAAACATACATTCTGATTCACTAATGACTACACAGAATTGCAAAACTCTTTTAAAAAAACCCAAAAATTAATCATTAGGTCGATGTAAGCATAGGGCTCGGTTTCTAGGGCTTCTCGGTTCACCCACCCCCCGCCCCCCTCTTCCCTCTAATCTCAGATTATTTAAAATCCATATTATAGTATTTTTAACTAATTTCAGTCCTAGAGTGCCCAGAGTAGACCTAGAAGCTGGGAATTGTTTTAATGATTTTTGCCCCAGGACAGAGAAGCTTATAGTGAACTTATAAGACTGTCCAAGGCTTAAATGAATCCCCTAATCCCTGTTATTCGAGAAACCTGTTCATAAAACTTTAGTTTAAACAGCCAAAAAGCTCCTCAACCGCTTAATACCAAACATCATTCAAAAACTACATCAAAAGACATCAGCACCTGCTAAACATCAATCAATAGATTGCTAAAATATCAAATTATTCATTAAGATTTCCTGACAACAGCATAGATTTCAGATTCTTCGGCCTTTTCCCCTTCATCGTTCATTTTCATTGGAATTTGTGAATAAAGATCCTCGTCTGATTCAACAACTGCTGCTACTGACTCAGCCTTTGCTGTTCCCAATTGTTCTGCAACTTCATAAATTGACTCATCGCCAGACTCATAAATTTGATCATTTTCAATTTCATTGTGGGATTTGTCAGCTTGTTGATGATAAGATTCGTATGCAAAATCATTATTGATGTTGGATGGGTGCGTCCTGCTTGCTGAATCACCAGCAGCTTCATAAAGTTGCAATGAATGATTTCCATATTCTTCATAAATTGGCTCATCATTAAGATTTGTTGAAGCATAAACAGGCTCATTAAATTGATCATAAAGTGCAGCTTGAGTCGATATTGTGTTGAATTGATGGCAGCTTGAGTTGTTTCTTTGAATCTTATTGTAGGTATTGGAAATACTCTTAAATTTTAGATTGTAGATTAAAAATGAGATTGTGACTATTAAGAGGACTATCAGGATGATGTTGAAGATGATTAGAATTTTTACATATTCAGGCATTTGATTTGTTGCAGCTTGTTCCAGTTTTAATTCCATCTGACTTAAATGATTTTCAATTTTTGTAACATTTTTAATTAAATCTGTAGATTGAGTCGTTAAGGTAGTAAGTTTGGCAGCAGTCTTGCTATAGCTTCCTGCAAAAGCTTCATTGTCTTTTTTGATTTCTAAGATTTTATCGTTAAAGCTGTTTAACATTAATTGTAGCTTGTTAGTAAAACTTATTTGTGTATTGTTCAACTCATTCTTCATTAGTTTGGTTATGTTTTTTCCATGATCAACAATCTTTTGAGAACAAATCTCTTCAGTATTTTTGAATTCAATCTTTGATCCAGCTTTGATTTCGTCAGAGCTTTTCTTGATCAATTGAGTCAGTTCTAGCTTCTGATTGATTGCATTTGTATTAATTCGATTAATTTGATTCAAAATATTGTTCATAAAGATGTTAAAGTTGGCTGAATTCACTTCATGGACTTTAATCTTGTCTTCTATTCGAGCGATTGTATTCTTTGACTGATTAATCTCTTGCTGCAACTGCTTTATCGATGCATTTACTTCCAACTTTGTTGAATTCTGCAAGATTCTTAAATTATCTTGGCTTTTATTTAATTTGTCTTCAATAGTTTGAAGGTTTTCTTCGATCTTGGTTATCGTTTTGTTAAAAATATTGTTTACATTCTTTAGTTCCTTAATAGATTCAATTACATCCAGCAGCTTATCAGCAAATCTTTGGCGTTTCTTTTGAAAATTAGCAAAATCTTCTGAACAGTTAAAAATCAAATTATTAATCAAATCGTCAAGTTCTGACTTGTTGTTAGCAGATCCAGAAAAGCACGTGTTTCCTTCAAGAGTCAAAACTGTCAAATCATGTTTGCTTTTAAAGGCACTTGATTCAATTAAGGAGATATGGTTGTGACTCAAATTGACTGTTTTGATTTTAAAATTATACTGAAGTAAGTCAGATTCCAAATATTGAAGGTTGTTGTGACTCAAGCATAAATATTTTAAATTCTCAAATTCTTTTAGATTTTCGGCAGTGATTTTTTTTAAGCCAGAATTGATAATTTCCAAAGCTTCGATAAACTTAAATGACTGTTTTATGCCATGAGGGAGATAAAATATTTCTTTATTTACCGCTGAGAATGACTTAATGTGCTTTTTTTCGTGTCCATTTGTAATATTTAGAATGACATGTTCATTGTGAATTTGCAAAAATATATCAACTTTGCAGCATGAAATGGTCTTCAGGTATTCAAAATATTGATCGACAAACTTACAAGAAATATTCAGTAATTCGGATTGCACAAGATTAATTGAAATTATGACAAAAAACATGAAACTAAAATGATTTTGATGACTTTATTTTGACTTTTTTTAAATAATTAATTAAACTTACAATGTTAAAAATGTCTTCATAATTTCTTAAAAAAATAATCCTTAAATTTTATTAAAATTATTAAAATTTTATCTTTTAATAAATATACTCGAATGCTTATTAAGTAAGACAAGGCTGACTAATGAGACTCTACAACATTTTTATATTAAAAAGTATAAATTACGAACAATATTTAGTAATGTCAAAGCCAGGGATGATAAGGGTTCGTTTATTTATTACATAACGCAATTAAAAACACCTCTTAAAAAATATCTATGAAAAAATTTCAGATTCCCCCTTCAACCCCCCCCCCCCCCCATCAGCCTTCCTAAGCGTTACGAAATAAATGAACGTGGCTGATAAAAAGATATCAAAACTGTTGTAAAGTCAGACTTTAGGTCAGTAGTGGACAACCTTTTTCGTGTCACAATTATATTCTTTGACCAAAACTGCATACAGCATACGGATCGTGGAATAATTCAAATTTGTTTACGACATACACAGCCAGACAGACAAACAAACAGTTAAACAGACAGATGCACACACAGGTACACGGAGAAGCACATGCATAGATAGACTGACAGACACACAGACAGATACACGCAGGGGCACACAGACAGACACATCCAGACACACAGACAGACTCACACAGACACACATAGTCGCACAAAGCCAGACAAATCATATCTACAGATTAATACTATTGGAAAGGATCTAACAAAGAATTTCATGAGTAGGAAGGGGGGGGGGGGGGGGGGGTTTTCATAAAAATGAAGAATTTTTTTTGGATCGTTCACTTATGAAGTACGAAGTTAACGGTCATTTTTCTAAAAAGAATAATGGAATTTCAGGAATTTCTATTGTTCTTTTCTTGCTAACCCCTCCACCCCCCCCCCCCTTGACGTCATACGTGAACGGCCCCTTTTATGAATGGAAATTTGTCCCCTAAATCCCTCTATTGACTAAAATGACGTCTTTTAGAAAAGTTATAAATTTTAATCTGCATTCCTTTGCTTACTAACCACAGCATAGATATCAGATCCATCATTTACATCCTGTCTACTCTCCACAATCTTTGGCGAAATGACTTCAGAATAAAGATCTTCACTGCTCGCTGTAATCGTTCCATAAATGTCATTCGAAAATCCATGATGTTCCACATCTGCCTGAACAGTCTTAGTCACTTCATTTGAATTATTCTGTTTGCGATTAGTCGAGATAAAGTCACAGCTCTGAATGTCATCATATGATTCATAACTTGTCTGATGTCTATTTTGTTTTGGATAGTCATCAACAAGTTGTGTCGCTGTTCTATAGTAAATCGGCTCAAGTGAGGGCGGTGTTGTTACGAATTTTGACTTAAACTTTTTGGATTTTGGTTGTGTACTGGATTTGCAGGAGAAGTAGAATGCTTGGAAGGTTATGATGATGATTAAGAGGATTGTATTTAGGTATTGGATGTGGATTGAGTCACATTTGGTGATTTTTATTGAGTTGTTGTTAACCTTTAGATTTTTGAATGTGGTTTGGAGTTGGCTCAATTGGTATGTTAAGGCTGCTATGTCGTCAGATTGCTGGTTTAATATTTTTGTGGCACTTTGAAGTTTTAAGCTTGATGTAACTTTATCCAGAATATCACTCAATATTGATGTCTGACTGCTATTGACTTTATTAATTAAATCCTGAACAGCTTTATTATTTTCAGCAATTTTATCATTGATATCTTCAGCACTTCTCGTGATTCTTTCATTAAAAGAGATGTCCAGAGCATGTAAATCATCATAATGACTGCTGTTCATTTCCTTTACATTATTTTCCAAGATTTGTATCTGATTTGAACAATCCTCAACTAGCTTATTAAGATATTTACTTTTATTTTCTATTTTCTCAAGTTTTCTTTGATTCTTGAAAGTTTCGAACTTACTTCTTGATGTCGCGTTCCAGCATCTCTCATTCATGTTTTCAATTGCTTTCAAAACAAAAGTCCGAGTGCTTGCAAATTTAAATTCACAATTGTTGCCATTTAGATTTAAAGATGATAACTTATTGGCAATTATTTTAAACTGGTCAAAAGCTCCTGACTCGATTGCGAATATAAGATTGTTCTTTAAGCGGATGTCTGCTAAATTTGGGTTATGTTGAAAGACATCACGGTCCAAAATCTTAATGTGATTATTAGACAAATCCAAAAATATTAAATTTGGAAATTCTTTAAGGTTTTCTGACGTCACCTCCTTTAAACTTGACGAATTTATCACTAAATTCTTGATGCTTGGTAAATGAGCACCGATGCCTTTCGGTATGTAGTAAATTTCCCTCTTATTTGCCATGAATCCAAAAATTTCTGTTTTATCAAGAATTCCTGTCGTGAGCTTGACTTCTTCATATTCGTTGTGAATTGTAAAATTGTCAGGAACAACACAACTCTGGATACCAAAAACTCCTTTAAACTCTTTACGAGCGTTTATGCAGTTTAGGTCAATTGAATACGTTGAATTAATCAAAATTATGAGACTCAACCTTTAAAAATATTTCAAAAAATACAAAAAGTGAAAAAAAACTGACTTTTTGACAATGTAACAATGGACCTACCACCACCCCCCTCCCCACCTTTTAAGAAATTAATTAAAAAAAACTTACAATTTTAATTTTAAATCCATTATTTTTTAATGCAGTTTTAACAATCTCTCAACTGACTTTTATGAATGTCTTTAAATGACTAAATTAGTTTATCAACATAAAGTGAAATGTGATACAATTTAGAATGTCATTACTCATAGCTTCACATACTTATTTGATGCACTTAAAAAGAAAATATGTTTAATATTAATATATAATGATGACTTTATTTAATTAAATGGGTTATAACATATATGAGGGCCATTAGAGGGGGTGGAGGGGAGAATTGGAGTAGCAAAGAAGTGTTTTGAATTATTCTTGTATGAACGGATTTTGGTGTCAAGCACCCCCCCCCCCCTTCTTTTTCTCAAAACAACCCAACCACTCTACCCAGGGGACCGTGGTCAAGGAGGGGATTTTGGTGTAAAGCCCCCCCCCCCTTTTTCTCAAAACAACCTAACCACTCTACGCAGGGGACCGTAGCCAAGGTGGGGATTTTGGTGTAAAGCCCCCCTCCCCCCCCCTTTTTTTCTCAAAACAACCTTAACCCTCTATCTGAGGGACCGTCGCTTTGGAGAGGATTTTGGGGTCAACCACCCCCCCCCCCCCACCTTTTTGAAAAAGGCATCAATTTGCAAGGGGTTTTTGGGAAAAAATTCAAAAAAGAACCCGCAAAATTTTCGCAAAAAAAGAGCGACTAAAGTATTAGCCCGGGCATCGCAAATAAAATTTAATAAAAGGGGTTCCAAATTTTTCATATTCTTCCCAAGGCGCCAATTTTCTTTGCTATATCTCTGGGAGGTTTGCTTATTGAGGACATAAATGAACTTTCCCTTAGTCAACTCTTTTCTTGGTTAAGTCACTGAAGTGAAAAATAAGTCTGTGATCAGGGTTTGAATACAGGCTGGGAAACAAGGGGGGGCATAGGAGGCCCGGGCCCCCCCTCTACGAAAATCTGATAATTGTTTTATTAAGTATTTATAGAGAAGAACCAGTTAATGTAGAGGAAGTGATGAAAGAAATGTCAAAATCAGCACGAAAAATTAAATTTAATGTATGAATAATGAATTAAATATTTAAACTTATGAAGAATGAATATAGATTTAAGGATACAAAATAACGGTTTTTTAATTTCCGAAAATGGGCCCCCCACTTAAAAATTTTCTGGCTACGCCCCTGTGTCAGATTGAATGCCTTTTTTACGCCATATGATTTTAAGCAATCCTGAGATCAGATCACTGCAGCTCATCAATTCCTCTGTGGCTTAAAAACAACAGCATATAGGCTTGATTCCTCATTGATTCGTTCACGGTTTTGCATTCTGTTTGGTGACACTTCTTCTGAGTAAAGATCCTCAACAATGTTTGTCCCATAAATGTCATTTGCGTACCCCAGATTGTTGTATTTCGGAATATCATGACCAGCATTGCTTTGTGATTCATTAGAATTGTAATAATCAGTAGCTTCAAGTGGCTCGTTATCTCTACGAGGGAGTTGGTCTGGTGTGTCATCGTCGTCAAGCTGAGAAACTGTCGTGACATTATTTGACTCGATTATTTGTGGTTTTGATGCTTCAATTGTTGGATTTGAGGGTTGCTTGCAGTGAAAAATGATGATAATTTGAGCAAGAAGTATGAAAAATAGGAGGAAAGTGATGATGTATGGAAAAGCATCTGGTTTGGTGCCTGTGGCTTTTAACTCTTCAAATTTGGCGTTAATTTTTCGATTTAATTTGTTCTCGACACTCTGAATCATGGTTGTTACTTCTTGATGTATGTTTGCTTGACGGGTGTTATGAAAATGCTCCAAATCAGCTTCAATCTTTTCTATCTTGACGATATTCCCATAAAACTGTATTTTAAAGTCTAACGTACAAGGTTCATTAGCTTTGAATTGATATTTTGAATATTTTAATGCGACACACTCTTTTTGGTTCATGAACAAAAACTGTAAATTTTGTAAGGCACTAAACACAGTTTTAGACGCTGCTAAAATCTGATTGTTGTTCAAATAAATTTTCTCGATTTTTGGATTACTTTTAAATAAATCAGCTTCCAAAATTCTAATTTTATTGTAGCTAAGATCCAAAATAATTAAATCAGGATAGTTTTTTAGGTTTTTGGATGTAATGTCCTTTAGACCACAATTCTGAACCATCAACAATTCGATTTTTTCACAGCATTTCTCAATTCCACTTGGTAAATATGAAATTGACTTCCCATTAGCTATAAATCCTCTAAACTCATTTTTGTGGTCAATAACAATCAGCTGTTCATATTCAGAAGTTATTGTAAGGTTGTGTTTAATTAGGCAGCATTGTTTTTTAAAAGAATCTTTATAGCTATTTTCTGGAGAACATTTAATGTTCACAGACGCTGAGGAAGCTATTAGTGATGAAATCACTGCCCTAGAATAAGATTTAAAGATAATTAAGTCTAGGGATAGAATTGAAGGATCAGATGGCAAATTTAGCTAAAGGGTCAAAAAAAGGCTAGCATTAAAAAAATAAACTCTAGCATTCAGAACTTATTGATCCATAGCTGCGCGTTACAAGGCTTATGATGGTTTAACGAGAGAGGGTTCGTCAGACCTTTAGTTCAAACCTAGACCTACAGTTTATAGTGGGATCTGAACCACTCTTTTGATGACATTTCTGCCAATAGTCTACAAAGTAAGGCTGTGAGCCTCATTTCCAGTACACATGATTCGAATAAGGACAATTCCTCATACCTAGTCTCGAACCCATGATCGCCGTGTCGATATTGCAATAATTATGTACCGAAGGACTAAACCATTCCGTCACCGAGCCACTTCAGCTCCCTAACATATGAAAATTTATTCAAACTTACAAGAAAACCTTCAGCTTCATATTTTTTATTAAGTTTTGAAATTTTTTATTTTATTGTTCAAAAGGATTCTGTCCTCTGACTTGATAGGAAAATGACTAAATATATTTTTTTTTGTGCCAAATAAAAATGACACAATTTTTTTGCGTTAATTCAATCAAATCATCTTATTTATGACTACATTTTTGTTAGGGGCATAGCCAGGAATTTAAGGGGGGAGGGGGGCATTTTTATTTTGGGTTGAAACATTTAGTTGGGATTTGGAGGGGGGGGGGGGCATTTTTAAGATCTGTTTTTTTTTTTTGAAAAACTCATACCAATTTAAAGAAATTTCAGTTGGCGAAAGACAGGAACGTAGCCAGGAATTTGAAAACGGAGGACAAATTTTTGTTTATGGAAAACTTTTAGGAAGGGGGGGGGGGATTTTTATTTTTGAACTGAAACATTTAGGGGGGTGTTGGGGCATTTTTAAGATCTGTTTTTTGTAAAAAAAAAACCCTTGCATATTGAAGAAGTTTCAGTTGACGGAGGACAGGGGCGTAGCCAAGAATTTGAAAAGGGGGGACAAAAATTGGGAGAAGGGGGGATTTTTCATAAAAACTCTAGCAAAATGAAGAAAATTCTCAAGACGAAGGGAGATTTGTCCCCGAAATCCACCCCCTGGCTACTGATTTGTCATCCATTTGGCAGATTTGTTGTAATCGCCTTGCTTGATAATCAGATAAATTGATCTAAATTCACCCTACCAAACCCCTGCAATCTGATCATTAGTCCCTTTCTGGCTTATAAACAACAGCATAAATGTCAGCACAATCATCAATATTATCCTTATTTTGTCCTCGTTTTGGTGAAATAACCTCAGAGTAAAGATCTTCATTGCAAGCCTTTCCATACATTTCATTTTTAAGTCCATATTCAGGCACGTCATTTGGCATAAAACCAGTTGATTGTTCTATATTGTTTCGTTGAGCTGATTCATAAGTCTGATTATCTTCAAAGTCTCTATTACGTGGCACGCTTGATGAGGAATCGACGTCAAGTTGAGTATTTGTGGTAGTTTGAGATAATGATGACTGAATTGGGGCATTTCTTGATGTTGAAGATTTGTTTCTGTCACGGAATATAAGGACTATAAGGACAGCGATGATGATGATTAAGAGAATTGTGTTGATGTATTCAGTGATTTCAGAAATTGTTGAGTTTGGACTTTCGTGTGAATTTTGAAGCTTTTGATTTATGTTGATAGATTCTTGGTATGTATGTTTAGTTATTTGGTTGATCTGTGCTTCTAAAAGAGCTAGTTTGGTGTTGGTTTCTTGTATTTCTGATTTAACTTCCCTATTTTGAGGAATTTGATTTTGGTTGTATGCTGATTTGTCCAAATCTTGGATAATCTTTTTTGATATGTTCGTTAATTCATACGACAAATTTACTTGGTTGTTAGACATTTGATCAATAATGTTCTTAATTTCCTCTAATGTTGTATTTGCATCCCTCTTAATTCTATCAATTTGGCCAGTCAAATCCTCAATGTTTTTAGAAAATGATTCATTCAAATTGTTCATTTTTTCCTGCATCTCGTCTGTCAAATCCAACATCTTATTAGGATTGTTATAATAAAACAAAGCATTAGACTCAATTTTCTCTGTTTTTATGAGATTTTGAGTTGTTCTCAGCTCTTCTTTGCTGACATTATTAAAGCAACTTTCTCCAGTACTTAATTGTCTCACAACTTCCTCAATGTTACTGTTTCCTGGATTGCAGACGTTCTTGGTCAGATGCAAATTAGTCAAGCTCGTCAACCCTTTAAACACCGTCGGAAAGATTGCAAAAATTTCATTGTCATTTAAATGAATGTTGACCAATTTTGGATTATGCAGGAACAAGTCATTCTCCAATAATCTAAGCTTATTGTGGCTCAAGTCTAAATGCTTTAAGTCAGGAAAAACCTTCAAATTTTCTTCCGTAATGTCCTTCAACTTTGATGCTTTAATAACCAAAACTTCCGTAACATTGCAACATTTTTCGATTCCTTTCGGCAAATAAAAAATTGTCTTTCCATCAGCCTTAAATCCTTTATAGAGTGTTTTATCAAAAGCACATTCGTCAATTTGTTCAATCGCATTTTTTACAGTGACATTAGCCTTTACTTCACAAATTGAAACAAGTTTTAGTGAACAAGTTTCTGTACTTGAACTGCATGTTATGTTGATGGCATTAGTGATGGTAAAAAGTGAAAATGCTGCTAGTCTGAAAATAAGATATGATTTATAAATTGTTGATCTATTTGGGCTTATTCTATGCTTATTCCATTGTAGCAGTGATGGCCAACCTTTATTGCGACACGGGACACCTTTGTTGTGAGCTGTGATCGAAACTACACACGGCATATGGTTTCTGGGACCTCCCGAAATGTGCCGCGGCACATGGGTTGGCCATCACTGCATTATAGTATCAACCTCCCTCCCTCCCCTCCTCTGGCAATGCTCCACACAAAAAAAAAGATGGACATCATTCATGAATAAGCCTTTAAGTAAGGCAAGCAAAAATTGTGGTTTTTAAGTTCCCAAATCACAACCTTTTTGATGATAAAAACATAAAATTACTTACAGCAACATCATTTCTTCCACTAATTAATATTTTTAAATTTTATTTTAATTTTTTTAAAAACTTTCTATTTTAGAACATTCAAGTTGGTAACTACTGATTAATGTGAATATGAAATATAATATAATATTTAAAAAAAAGTCTCATTTGAGGTTTCGAATGAGCAAGCTTTAAATTCTTAAAGTGATAAAAAAGTGACATAAATCTTGTGTAATGTGTTGGATTAATCATAAATGATGTGATTGAATAAATTAAGTTTTAGCCCTTGAAGAGTGTTTACATATATTAGCATTCTGCTAGTTCCAATCCCAAAGCCCAATAGGGAGCCGTTCACTTATGACGTCCAGGGGCGGAGGGGGAGGTGGGCAACAAGAAAAGAACAATAGAAATTCTTGGAAATCCTTTGCTCATTTTGAAAAATGACCGTTAATTTCCGACGTCATAATTAAACGGTCCCTAGCTTAATGGTCTGAGCACTTGACCGGCAATCGAGAAGTGGTTCGATTCCCTCTCGGGACGACAATTGGGTGAATTCCTTTTTTTTTCAACAATTTTTAACTTAGGGGTCGTTCACTTATTACGTAACGCAAAAAAATGACTTTTTAGACCCCCCCCCCCCTTGTAACAAAATTTGTATGGAAAAAAATTTCATTTGTTTGAATCGTAACAAAATCTTAGACCCCCCCTCCCCCCTAAAAGCGCTACGTAATAAGTGAACGGCCCCTTAAGTTAACTTTAGTGTTAGGCTGTCCAACATTTAATTGAGATTAGGGTGGGGGGAGATAGCCAGGAATTTAAAGAGGGGGGGGGGGGGGGGGGGACAAAAAAAATTTTATATGGAAAATTCAGAGGGAAGGGGGGATTTTTTTTTATGATTTTATCATAAAACTCCTAGCAAAATAAAGAAATTTCTGTTTACATCGGGGGATTTGTCCCCCAAACCCCCCTGATTACGCGCCTGCCATGCACCTCTGCACTTTCAATCCCACACACATTTTTAGACTTTTGAGGTTAGACTTCATTGTTCCTAATAAATAGCTTCAAATGACTTCAAAATTCTTTGTCATGATACTGATAATTATTCAAGTGTTTAAACAATAAGTAAAGTAAGTTATGGGGGGTCTGAAAATCTTGTTTTTCTGCTGGACGTCATTTATGATTAGCCCTTTTGTTTAAAAGTCATTTTAACTTTAAAATCATTTAAAAAATCTCAATTTTCACATATAGCAGGGGATTAGCTAGAAATAGGGAAAGTGGGGCAAGGGAGTAGCCAGGGGGTTGTTTTTGGGGTGGACCCCCCCTCATTTTTAAAAATTTCTTCAATTTGCTAGGGTTTGAGAAAAAATCCAAACCACTCCCCACCGCTGAATGACTTCGCCCTAGGGGGTGGGGGGTAGGGGTGGGGTTAGGGGGGTAGAAGGTGGTGGTAGGGAGTTGGGGATTAGGAGGTAGAAGGTAGGGTTAGGGGGTTGGGGGGTTAGGGGGGATTTTGAAGTTCCGTACCATCTTAATAATGATTATTGAATATTTTAAGCAAATGGATTGACATTATTTTATTTTGTGAGATTTTTGGCGCATTTCACAGTTTATGGCTTACTAACGACAGCATAAATTTGTGAATTATCTTCTTCAACGCTTGCATTACTTTGTAAAACAACTTCTGCATACAAATCTTCATCCAATTGATCATTCAAACTTCTATCAACCGCATTTTGTTGCTCTGCATTACTAGACTCGCCGCAATGTGATGATTCATGCATAAATTCATGTCTCATGTCAGTTTCAATTGCCTGTTCTTCATAATGACCTGAATAGTTCCTTAATTCTTCCATTTCATGTATGGGATCTTCGTCAAGAGTGCTTTCATAAACTGGCTCATAATCTACGCTTGGTAATGTTGCTGATTCGTAGATCCATTGAGGTTGTGACGCATTGTTGGTTTTAGAAAATGAATAATTTCGATTTTTTGAGATTTTTGCATATTTTGGAGATTCTTGGTTAATTTTAACTTGTTTTTTGAGGTTATTTGATAATCTTTTGATGTAAATGATGGACATTATGAGAAAAATGCTGAGAATGACATTAAGGATGACTAAAAATGTGATAAAAACTCTTTCAGATGAATTGTTTTGTGCGAATTTAGTTGAGTTGGCTGATTGAGTGATTAATTCAGATAGAAAGTCATCAGATTGGTTGATTCGGTTGGAAAACTCATCTTTGCTGATTAAGTTCTTAATTGTAGATTCTAAGCTTGATGAACTGTGATTGATGTTTTGTAGCAAATGATTCAGGTCTGCTTTATGTAAATTGATGTCAGCTGATAGATTGTTGACCTTATTTTGTAAGCTATCGATTGAATCCTTGTTGATTAAGCTCAGATTCAAAGTTTTGTTTAAGTTTGCGATTGTTTGATTCAGATTGTTAACTTTGTTAACCTTACTTTTAAAATTATTAATGTTTTTATCGATATTTGTGACTTTTTGATCGATTTTATTCAAAAATGCATTCACATTTCCTCTAATTTCATCAACTAAGCTTAAAACTGCTGAATTTGAATTATCTTTTTCTTTTGGATCGATTATTTTGTCTAATTTAGTGCTTAGCTCATCAATTTTACTAAAAATTGAAGTTGATAAGTTCGTTAAGTCTTCAAGTCGTGTTTCAACATTATTTTCAGAGCTTTTTCTGCATTTCTTGATTCTTTCCTGGATAATTTTGATGAGGTGGCTCAGCTGTTCTTGATTTACTATTGTCACAAATCGAACTGAGTTAATCAGCAAAGCTATGCTTAATGGACAGTTTGTAGAGCTCCAATATGTTGAGTTGGTCCAGCAAATATCACGAGATAAGTTGATGATGTTTTTGACTTTTTCATTGCTTTGAGCTTTTTCGTTGATGCACAAATTATTTTCGAGGTTAAGGACTTTTAAGTTTGATAAAGCATTAAAAGTTGAAGGATAAATGAGAAAGATTTTGTTATTATTTAGAAAAATGCTTGATAATTTTGTATTATTTTGGAATAAGTTCGCTTCCAGGATTGCTATGTCGTTCCAGCTCAAGTCTAGATACTTTAAATTCGGCAGCATTTTCATCACTTTTGATGAAATTTCTCTCAAACTCGAGTTGATGACTTTTAACATTGTTATTGCATTTAAACTGATTCCATCAACAGTTTTGGGTAAATAATAAATTTCCTTATTTTCAGCAATTAATCCTTGAATTGGTTGATCCTTTGCTAGATTCACAGCCTTTAATTCATCGGATTCGCTTTGGACTTTGACAGGACCGATGACAATGCAAATGTTTTTGACGAAATTAACAATATTAGTTGTGCTGACATTGCAACTAAATGTACTTGACTGAGTTGCAGTTATTCTCCATGCCAAAAGATATAAAAATCTAAAAAAAAGTTTTTTTCCTTAAATTAATTTTGTAAAGCAATTTAACATCCAAAAACTCACATCAGCAATTTATTAACCATTTTTAAGTCAATATTACGACAAAATGAGATTCTATATTGACTAAGCTTAGTAATTTGCATAATTTTATTATCATTTTAATTGTTATGTTTCACATTTTAATGATTAATTACTTTTAATAATGATGAGTAAATTGCTAATAATTGTGTCATAAAATGGTTGGAAAATCAAAAACAATGGTAGGGGGGGGGGAAGGGGGGAATAATTTTGATTAAAAATCATTAACTTTTCTTAAAGATCTTTCCTCATCATGTTGTTCTCCCCTTGATTCAAATTACTGAAATTAGCGTTAAACTGTAGAATAATTATAAGATTCTTCATCATCCTTCATAGCACATTCAATCTTTAGAACAGACAAATCGGAGTAAAAGTCTTCAGTATTTGTTTCAGGCACAGCTACTCTCCCTCTATAATGTGAGTATCTGATTTCATCATAATTCTCCTCCAGATCGACATTTGCCTTCAGTTTTGATTCATTTGAACTGACGTAATCATTAAAACCATAAATCATAGGCTTTGTCATTGCTGAAATATATTCCTTGTTGTTCTTAGCGTCCACATCAGTTACTGCTGACTGTTTACAAGTCAAATTATAGTAGATGAAGATGAACATGACTATGATGATGACTAGTGACGCTCCAATGCAGATGTTCAGGATAAAAATGACATGCTTGGTGCTCTCAGCGTTAGTTTTGATATTTTGGATCTCTTCATAGAGTTCAGAGACATTAAGTGGACATACGGTCTGCTGTGGAATAGACATTGCTTGTTCATGGCTCTCAGCTTTGACAGAATAGCATTTATTGTTGATAATATCCAAGAAATTGATGTTTTGAAGTGCCAAGAATGAGTCATGATGAATATAGTAAATGTTGTTGTTGTTCAGCCTAATGTCTTTTAATTTGTCATTGTACTGGAACAAAGCAGGCTCAATAATTAGAATTTCATTGTAGCTCAAGTCCAAATAAGATAAATTCTTGAAATTCCTCAATTTTGATGATCCAATTGTCTTCAGATGGCTGTTTTTGATGGTCAAATGTGAAATGTGTAAAAAATTTGTTGAGATTCCTTCCGGAAAATAGAAAATTGTTTGATTTTCAGCTTTGAACCAAGAAACCTTTGATGCAGAAGTCCTTCCAATTTCACTTTCTGAGATAACAATTAAAACCTTTGCATTTTCTTCAGTTATGTTTAAACTTCTTATGACTGAGCATGTTTTTATGTTTGTAGAATTCATGTCCTCATTATGAGCTTGGCAATTTATGATCACTTCTTTTGACATCACAATTGGAACCAAAATGAGGATTCTATTCAAAAAAAAATAGGATTTTAGGATTTTGAAGCAAAATAAGGCGTACACAGTTGGAGAACTTCAGGAACTTTCAGAAAAATAAATTTGACCACCGGAAGTTTCCTGATTGTGTTCGCCTTAGCATTTTGACTGAAAACTTACAAAATTAATTCAATTTTCATGGTTTTTTAATAAAATTGATTTTTTTTTGTGCAGAAATAAAAAAAAATTAATTTGACAAAGAACGATGAATTGTTGACAAATTTGATTTAATTTAACGATGATTCTTCAAACCAGGGGCGTAGCCAGGATGGGCTGGACTCCCCTCCTTTAAACGTTTAGAACCTTGTGCTTGCTGCATCATAGTAACTTAATAAAAATGCTCAAAGTTATTAATCATGACAATATTTTGTAATATTTTATTACTCTATAATATAAAAACCCAATTCACTGACTCAATGACCAGGCGCGTAAAAAGGGGGGGGGGGAGGGGATTTAGGGGAAAATTTCCCCGACGTTAACAGAAATTTCTTCATTTCGCTAGGAGTTTAAAAATCCCCCCATTCCCTCTGAATTTTCCAAAATAATTTTTTTTGGTCCCCCCCCCCCCCCCCCCCCCTCTTCAAATTCCTGGCTACGCCCCTATCACTGACTCTAGAACAGCAGCCATGTCAAGCCATTTGTGAAGCCGTGTGAATCCAATGATGCGGGGGGTGTTGATAAGGTGGGTGTCAGGTGAGGAGTGATGGAGGACTTGACATGGTGGGTGGGGGTGACATGACGAGTTGAGGGGGGATTAAAGTTTTAGTGGGATTAATGGGGTTCGAATTTAAGGGGGTTTGTGAAGTCATTTATAAAGTTTTTGTGGGATTAAGGGAATCCAAGTTTGTAGGGGTTGTTAATCCAAATGATCCAAATAGAAAAATTTATTTCACGGGGGTTTTAAATACTGCCCGTAATCTTTTACGGGATATCATACAATTACAAAAGTCTTCGTTAGTGTTTCTGTCATTCCGATCTAAGTTCCGCCCACTTTCATATTTTTTTATTTTTGTAAATGTGTGATTCTCAATTAGGGGCCGTTCACTTATGCCGTCCAGGAGGGGGGGGGGGGGGGGGGGGGGGGGAGGGGGATCAGCAAGAAAAGAACAATAAAAATTCCTGAAAATCCGTTCTTCTTTTTTGAAAAATGACCGTTAACTTTGGACATCATAAGTAAACGACCTCTTAGCAGCCCCCCCCCCCCCCCCCAAATGATAAAGTAACTTTACGATTTATTGCAACACACTGCATAAATATCAGCATCGCCTTCAACACAATCTGGTCTGTGGACTTCAATTACATTAGTTTGTAAATAAAAGTCATCAGAATCAGCAGACGCTGAGTAAATATTCTCATCACATTCTGTTTCCCTTATCACTTCGTACTCTTCCTGAACATCATAGAATGAGTCGTTGATCGTATGAGTATAATCTGCTGACGCATATATTGGATCACTAATCTGTTTTTGAGTAATTTCTTCGTAATTTGATGCATCTGTGGTTTTGTGATTTTCTGGAGTTGATGATTTTTTAGATTGAAGTAAAAAGACCAGCACAATAGTAAGAATGACTAAAAGGGTAATGTTTAGGATGATAAGAACAAGGATCCAAATTGAATGGTCGTTTGAGGTTTCGTCAAGTTTTTCTGTTGTATCATTTTGTTGAGTCATGACTTTAAACTTTAACGCAGCATTTTCTTCTGCTAACATTTCAAACTTTTTATCATAGCTCAATTGTGCGTCATTAACTTTTTGCAAACAAATTTCAATTTTATCGAGAAGTTTTGTATTGTTTTGAGCCATTTTCTGCTGAGTTTGCTCAATTTTTAAGTACATTCGATGAATATCATTGATATTGGCTTTTATCGCATCGTGTTCGGTTGTTATTGAGCTTTTTAAATTATTAAAATTTGACAGGACAGTTTGATTTAAGTTTTGAAACTTATTATCAATAATTCTTCGAATTTCAACCTTTTCATTTGAGAAAATTGTGCCAAATTCTCTAATTCCTTCGCTATTTTTAAAAATGATCCTCAGTTGATGAACATTAACTCCACATGATTCACGAAATGATGACTTTACACGCTCAAGTTCCTTTTTATCATCTGCAACTAATGATATGCAAGCATTGCCTCCTAAATTCAAAAATTTAAGGTTAATCATGTTGTCAAATGTTGTCAGCGCACCAGCAAATATTTTATTATTCCTCAAATTTATGTCCTCCAATTTTGTGTTAAATTGAAACAAATTTCCTTCAAGAATCTCAATTTTATTTCCACTCAAGTCTAGATATTTTAAATCTTTATAATTTTGAAGAACTTCCGAGGAAATTTCCTTTAAATTTGAGTTTTTTATTACCACTATATTAAGTGTCTTTCCAATGTTTTTTGGTAAATAAAAAATTGTTTTATTTGTTGCAACAAAACAATTAAATTCTAATGATTTTTGATTTAAGGAAATTATAACATTTTCATTTCTGTGATAGACTGTAAAGTCACCAATGACGCAGCAACAATTTTGATTGGTGTAGAATGAAAAATTCATTATTTCCAACTTGCAGCTAAGTTGCACAGGTTTTGAGAGTGAAATTTGAAGAATTATCAAAAATAACCTGAAATTAATTGTATTTTCAATTTAATTCACTAATTTAAGATTCAAAAAATCTTACTTTGTTATTTTTTTAATCATAATTCAGACAATTTAAATAAATATAGATCTTTAGCTATGCGTGAACAATGGCAGAACTGAACAAGACTATTAATCTTTTTAAAATTCAGTAAATGATTAAAAACTTAGAAGCTCATCCAATTTTTTTTCGAGTCAACGACATAGCCAGGTTCAAGGCCCACCCGCCCATACAGACATACAGACATAGAGACATACAGACATACAGACATACAGACATACAGACATACACACATACACACATACACTCATACAGACATACACACATACACACATACAGACATACACACATACAGACATACACACATACAGACATACACACATACAGACATACAGACATACAAACATACAGACATACATACATACAGACATACAGGCATACAGACATACATACAGAGAGCATTCTACCAGCCTAAATAAAGTTTTTGGAATCTCCGAGGAGAGAGGTTCAAGGGGACCCCCCCACACACCCCAATCTTGACCTAAATGAATCAACAATCTTAGAATGACTAAAATATTTTTTTATTAATCACAAGAAATTTAATTGTTCAAAACCACAGCATAAAGTTGAGAATTATTATCGTCTTCTTCTGTCTTTTGCAGGAAATTTTCCAAAGGAGCAACAACTTCCGAATATAAACCTTCCTCATGCTGATCATTAACATTTGCATTTAAAACCTCCTCGTAATTGTCAGGTATTTTATAAAGATCCTCATTCATGGCTTCATCTGATTGTGATTGTTTTGGCATGCTGTAAAGTTCTTCATAATTGTCATTTATAATTTTAAAGGTTGGATTATTTTGAGGCGTAGTTTTTGATGATTTAATGTAAAAGATGATGCAGCATAATAATGAAACATTGATCGTGAATAAAGCTATGATGCATGCCCCAATTATATAAATCACATCCTTACGCATCACAATTGCATTCTCTTGATTCTTTAAGTTCATAAGCTTATGCAGAAATCCTTCCAATTCCTCTGACTGTGCTGTATGAGCAGCATTGAGTTTTTCTGTGAGACCTTTAACAAGATTCAATCGTAAGCTTGTCAGTATTGCGTCATCAATCCGTTGCTTATTAAATTCAGTAATTTCACCATAAACAGTTGACAATGGAATCGAACAAAGTGACACTTTTTGATCCATGACTAATTCCTCATAGCTTCTTGACATGAACGAGTAACACGAATTGTTATAAAAATAAAAATATTTGATATTGACAAGAGCAACAAAGGCTGTGGAGTCGATATAAAATATTGTGTTATTGCTAAGCCAAATTGTGATTAAATCTTTGTTATGCTGAAATAAATTAGACTCCAAAACTGAGAGTTCATTGCCACTTAAGTCCAAATATTCCAAATTATTAAAAGGCTTTAAATTATCTGATCGAATTTTCTTTAATTTTGAGCTTCTAATCGTCAAACAGATTAGATTTTGGAAGGATTCCTCAATTCCAAGTGGCATGTAAAAGTATTCCTTAGATGTGACTTCCAATGCCTTCGGATCCTTACCAGCTTCATGAAAAAATTCTAAAGTCACATTTTCTTGATGAACTTTTGGACTATTTTTGACAATGCAGCTCAGAATATTATTTTGAAAATGATAAGTTTTGGTTTCATAATCACAACTTACATATTTATTGTCTGGAAGTTCTCCTGATGCCAGTTGTAATATTTTAATCATAAACCTACAATAATTAAATGCTGTTGTTTAAGGAATTGAAAAAACTTCAAATTTAACTTACAATAATAATATTTTCTTCATTTTTAGTGGTTCTTAGATTTTCTTAAAATATCTTCAACACTTTTGATCTTGTCATCTAAATCTGAAGATTTGGAACAAAACAATTCAAGAAATTCTATTGCGAGTTCTTTATTATTAAGCCTTGATATTCCAAAAACCTTATTTTATCAATAAAATAATCAAACTAATGTAAAACAGAGCATTTATATGATTTATAAATTAAAAACAATTCACATAAAATTTAGTCATGCTTAATATCATTCATGCTTAATGTTTGAGTCACCAACATTTACTTCATGACTGTAGAATACAACTGCTCATCTCCTTCATATTCATCATTATTCTGCAACTCAATTTTAACTTCTGAGTATAAGTCTTCAGCAACATCCGCAGCATCAGCAATCATGTTGACTTCATTATAGTTTCCTTCAACTTCATAGTGATTTTCCTGTCTTTGTGAGTAATTTGATGCTTCATTTTGTTCCTCAATTCTCAATTTTGTGTTGTTTTGCATATTTTGATGATCTGATTGACTTTTGTTAAGGTCCTTTGAAGTCTCAAGAAGATTGACTTTGCAGCAATTACAACATAAAGCTATCGCATTCATCAATATTAAGATGACTAAGCATAAAATTGTAATGTATTTGTCATAAGCTTCAAATGTGTTGTTCAAACTTGATTCCTTTGATTTTTGAGAGTTTGTTGATTGCCCTTTAGACAGCTTATCTTGATTGTTTGTAGCTTGTGTCTCACATTCCTTACAGGTTCCCTTGATGTTACTGATTTCTTGTTTAATGACATCAACAACATTAGATTTTATACTATCTAGAGCTTTTGTGAGAACTTCTTCTGATGTCTTTATGGAATCATCAAAGCAACTCTTGATGGATGCACCTCTCCCGCAAGATAAACGATCTTCCAAAGTAATTAATGTTGTTGAAACCTTTTCTATTTGAGTTGTAATTGCTTTCAAGTCGCAGCTTTGCTCTAAGCAATTAGTTTTAGTTTCTCCATTTTGCTGATTTTCTTTGAATGCTTTTGAAGTTAAAACGTAAAGTTGATCAATGTAACTGGTGCACTTGTTAGCTTCTATTAACGAATTAGCCTCAAATCTTGACCTAAATTCTTTATTATAGCAAATATTTGAGGTTAAACTTAAGAATTCCAAGCTTTTTAATGAAGTGAATGTTTTCATTTGGATGTAGACTATTCTGTTGTTGTTGAGCCAGATTGTCCTTACTAATTTGCTATTGCTGAACAAATCCTGATCCAGTCTTTCAATCTCGTTGAAACTTAAATCCAAAATCTCTAAATATAGAAATGGTTTCAGATTTTCTGATCTAATTTCTTGCATTTTTGAGTTGTAAACTTTTAAATGTTTTAAATTTTTAAATGTTTGATCGATTCCAGTCGGCAAATAATAAAAAACTTTATGTAGAACCGAGAATCCTTTGACATCCCAATTGTTGCTTTGTAATCCATTAAATATGGATTTTGTGTTTCGTTCGATATAATTTGGGCAAGTGGTGACTTCGCATGTTTTGAACGTGCCTTGAACAATGTTACAGGATATTTCTGTGGGCGTTTCTTGATGAGCAATGCTTATGATACTCGACAAAAGTGATCTGTAATTTAAATATTTAAAAAATAAATTAAAAACAAATTAATTTTAATAATTTTGTAAATTTACATTATTAAGACGATGTTCATTTTGGTAAACTTGACTTTTCAGATTAATTCTGCTCAATTTAGAACCAGTGATTATTAAAAAATATCCAACTTCTCGCAGTTTTGGTCAACAATGACAAAATGTTTTGATTTTATTATTCCTAAGTTATTCATTTGAGTCATTCAAAAATGATTTCATAAAGTTTATTTAAACAATGTTTCATTTAAAAAAAGTATTTTAACATTTTGAAACCAGTGGTGGGCAACCTTTTTTATTCAAGCACACACCTTGATTGTAAGCAGGCGCGTAGCCGGGGGAGGGGGGAGATTTGGGGGATAAATCCCCCCAACGTAAACAGAAATTTCTTCATTTTGCTAGGGGTTTTATGAAAAAATCACAAAAAAATAAATGTAAAACTAAGATAGACTGTCCCAGGTAGCCTTAGAAACCGCCCCTAGTTCCATAAACTACAGCATAATCCTTTTTTCCTTTAGCATGTGAATAAGCATCTCTAAAGCTTGGTTGTTCCTCATAAAAATCATCATCATTATTATTTCCAGTTCTTTTGTTAGAAATTTGACTCTTATTGTACGCATTTTCTGGAATTTCTTCATATTCTTGCTGATCTTGACAACTGTATTGCTGATTTTCTCTATTTCTGACTTCCTGACCAACGATATTAGTCATTTGATAATGATTTTCTGGTGCTTTTTGTTGACTTTCATAATTATAAGGAATTTTGTATTCGTCATCGATTTTCACATCAGTTTTTGATAAATTTGAGGATTTTTTGCAGCACATGATGACTACAATTGTGATGAGTAGAAGGATGATGCATGCAAGCAGTGACATGTAGATGATGTGAAATTTCAGTAATAACTCATTGTTTGAATCATTAAATGACTTTAAGATGTTTTCGATCTGTTGTTGACTGATGTTGCTTTTCGATTCGTGAACTTCTGCTTCCAGCTTCTTATTGATGCTTTTACACTTATTATGAAAAGTAAGATTCAACTGTCGAATAGCTTCTAACACTTTATGGTCTCCTATTGATCCTGTGTTGTTGGTTTCGTTCACAATTGTAATTGAATTTGAGTTTTTAAAACTGTCAAAAAACATTTTGCTATCATTTTGGAGTTTTGTCATCATGTCATCTAGTTGCTTTTGTGGATCTGTATTGAACATTCCAAAATGATTTGCAAATGTATTTCCACCAGCCATAGCCAGTGCTTGAGAGAAGGCACCACAAGAATGAAGTAAATCGTTGGAACATAAACTAATCCTGAATAGAGCTAAAGCATCTTCAAGATTGAAGGCACTTCCAGTGTAGCAAATATTGTTGAATAAAATAAGCTTTCTGAGATTTGTAAGCCAGGAGAAAGCACTTGGATGAATATAATAAATCTTATTATCATTAAGCTTTATTATCTGTAATTGAGGAGTGTTTTGAAATAGATTTGCATCCAAAATGAGCAATCTGTTGTGACTCAGATCCAAATATTCCAAGTTCCTGATTAAACCAAAATCATTTGACGATAATTTCCTCAAATTTGAATCCACAACTTTTACAGCTTTAATGTTTGGAAATATTTTACCAATTTGACCAGGAAAAAAGAGAATTTGTCTATTTTCAGCCTCGAATCCATGAATATTTGCAGGAATGATTAGACCTCCATTTTGAGTTTGAATGTTCTTTACATTCACATCAACATTCTCGTGTCGAACAAGATCAATTTCATTCACAAGACATCTGTTTATATTTTTAATATGCTCATAGTTTTCCAGGCCATATTTGCAGTCGATGTCGACTTTATCACTTTTGGATGTTCCAGCCAAAAGCAACAAAGCTAGTCTGTAATAAGAAATTTTCAATTTATTTCAATTATTTTTGTTTTTTTTTTAAACTTACAATTTCAACATTTTTTTTTCAAACTTAAATAAAATCAATTTCGTCAGCTGAAAATGACTTAATGTGATGAGTGAATAAATAAAAATGAGCAAAAAAGTTTAAAAAATTGAAAAAAAGTTTTTATTTGAAAAATCAAACTGACCAGGGACGGATTTTTGGGATTTATCTCTCCAAAAATACCCCAAAATAATAAATTTTCTCAAACCGGGGTTAGGGATGGGTTCGATTTTAAAACCATTGGCAATGTTAATAATAAATAAACTGGATTTAAGTCCAGTTGAGATTTGATTCTTTAATTAGTGCTTAATATTTTTGCTCATCTTCCTCTTTCTTCTTATCGCCTAGACAAAGACCAAGGGTCAGAGACTCCAACAGAATTGTAAGGATTGTACAATCCTTACTAAACAAAAATAATGTCCATTTATTTTTAAAAAATAAAATAAAATACGAAAAATGAAGAAAAACAGTCAGAAATTTTTAAAAAATATTATATTGAAAATTACAGAGTTGCTACATATGTGACTCTAATATTGTTATGATGTATATATCGGGTGTGTTGCATAGGATAGACAGAATAATTTTGGAGAATTCTGCTCAACAGTTGCGCAACAATTCTGCAGAATTATTCTGATAAATGTTGCGTGACATGGATGAAATAATAAAAATCAACCAGAATAATTCTGAAGAACTTATTTTTATACTGCAGAATTATTCTGTGGAAATTTTTTTTTTCAGAATTTCACAAAACAAATCAGAAACATTTTTTTTCCAAATTCTGCATAATTAAAAGTTCTGGTGAATAACTTTATGAGAATGTTATTATTATTATTATTATTATTATCATTATCAGGGTGGGGAGATTTTTGGCGATTTAAATCAAAATCCCAGAATTTATTTTTGATTTTGATTTGAATCTCAATAAAAAATGATTTTAAAAGGGGATTTTGATTTAAATCATTTTACCCAAGTGAATTTTTCTCGATTTTGATTTAATTCATTCTTGCAAAGGGATTTTTTTTTGGGATTTTAAAATCACTCAGTAAGATCCAGACATGCTTGATGATGTCCAGCTATTTAAATGTAAGCAACAAGGCACAGAAGATTAAAAATCACGAATTGGATTTCGTTTAAATCAAACAGCATGGAACCATTGGTTGCTGTAACCTTTCTTTAAGAAATGTTTGGATCTAAAAGATCCAGTTTCAAGATTCTGGCCAAAAAAGGATCAACTGCATTCTTACTTATTAGAAACTGCAACTGAAAACTGTTGATTTGAAAAATAATTCAAGAAATTGAATACAAAAATTTCACATGGAGAGAAATCCCAAATTTTAAAATCCCAATAAAATCTTTCATAAAAGAGATTTAAATCAAAATCCAAAATAAATCCATTTGAAAAATCATTACAAAAAGATTTTGATTTTGATTTTTTATTTAAATCACCCACCTTGGTTACAAGTGAAAAAATTGATATATCAAGCTTATTTCGTTCTTTAAATTCAAACAAATAAATCTTTAATATTAGGTTAATATTTCTTCTTTAGTAACATATGAAAAACATTTCTAAATGTTCCATACAATTATTTCATCCTTACAATCTTTATATGAAAAGGATTACAATCCCTACAATCCTTCCATATGGATTGTGAGGATTGTACAATCTTTACAATTCTGTTGGAGTGTCTGACCCTTGACAAAGACAATACATGATAAGAATACTGCACATATACGTCAGTGACGTCACTATAATCATTGCATAAAGCAAGCACTTAGAATTGACTTTTGACTCGTGTTTCTCATTAATGAGTTGTCTCAATAGTTGGATTTCATTAGTCAAGTTTGAGTTTGATTTGTCATTCATTTCCAGCTCATCATTACTGATTCTAGGCTGAAATTCATTCTGTTGTACGCATCTTGTGCAGTTGATCATTTTTAAAATGTCAACTTTAACTGATGACAAGTCGCAGCTTTGCTCTAAGCATTTAGTTTTAGTTTCTCCATTTTGCTGATTTTCTTTGAATGCTTTTGAAGTTAAAACGTAAAGTTGACCAATGTAACTATTGCACTTGTTAGCTTCTATTAACGAATTAGCCTCAAATCTTGACTTAAATTCTTTATTATAGCAAATATTTGAGGTTAAACTTAAGAATTCCAAGCTTTTTAATGAAGTGAATGTATTCATGAGGATGTAGACTATTCTGTTGTTGTTAAGCCAGATTTCTCTTAACTTGTTGTTAGTGCTGAACAAATCCTGATCCAGTCTTTCAATCTCGTTGAAACTTAAATCCAAAATCTCTAAATATTGAAATGGTTTCAGATTTTCTGATGTAATTTCTTGCATTTTTGAGTTGTAAACTTTTAAATGTTTTAAATTGCTAAATATTTGATCGATTCCAGTTGGCAAATAATAAAAAAATTTATGGAGAACCGAGAATCCTTTGACATCCCAATTGTTGCTTTGCAATCCACTAAAATTTGTAGAAAATTTAGATTTTGTGTTTCGTTCGATATAATTTGGGCAAGTGGTGACTTCGCATGTTTTGAACGTGCCTTGAACAATGTTACAGGATATTTCTGTGGGCGTTTCTTGATGAGCAATGCTAATGATACTCAACAAAAGTGATCTGTAATTTAAATATTTAAAAAAAAAAAATTAAAAACAAATTAATTTTAATAATTTTATAAATTTACATTATTAAGACGATGTTCATTTTGGTAAACTTGACTTTTCAGTTTAAATCCTTTAAATTTAGAACCAGTGATTATTAAAAAAGATCCAACTTCTCGCAGTTTTAGCCAACAATGACTAAATGTTTTAATTTTATAATTCCTTAGTTATTCATTTGAAAATTAGTCATTCAAAAATGATTTAATAAAGTTTATTTAAACATGACACATAAAAAAAAAGTATTTTAACATTTTAAAACCAGTGGTGGGCAACCTTTTTTTATTCAAGCACACACCTTGATTGTAAGCAGACGCGTAGCCGGGGGAAGGGGGAGATTTGGGGGACAAATCCCCCCAACGTAAACAGAAATTTCTTTATTTTGCTAGGGTTTTAATGAAAAAATCACAAAAATACCCCTTCCCTTCCCCCCTCCGTTAAATTTTTCCTTACAAAAAAAATTTTTGCCCCCCCCCCTCTTCAAACTTCTGGATACGCCCCTGATTGTAAGTAATGACCGAAAACACACTTGTGGGATTTTTACTAATGTATCGCGGCACACAAGGGTGCAGATATGAAGAATTACATTTTGATCTATTCATCAGTACCATACCCTTGGCGGCACATGGGTTGGACATCCCTGATTAAAACAACAATAAAAACAAACTTGAAAGCGGATTTAATCTAATTTTACCCAAAAATTAATCAATATTTATGAATACAGCATGTTATCATCTTTACTATCGCTGTTCTTGTCACCATTTATTTGGTTATAACCTTCAGCAAAATCTTCAGCTGCTTTGTCAACATTAGCATCTAAATTAGTGTCTTTAAGGTTCGAGGACTCTTGATAGAAATCATCAGCATAATTACTCAATTGACTTCGGTTGTACGCATTTTCTGGAATTTCCTCATATTCTTGCTGTTCAGAGTAGTTAAGCTGACCAATTTGATCATTTGTGCCTTCATAATTCTTGATAGAATTCAATTCATAATGATTGTCCTGTATTCTGCTGAAGTTTTGAAGCTCATATAGAGTGCTGTATGTTTGTGGTTCATTTTTAAGTGATTTTTCAGGTTTCAGTGACTTTTTGACATTGACAAATAAAATGACATTGACGATGAGTAACAGGACGATGACTGACAGGAGTGAGACACACAATATGAAATTTAAATCTGGTGTTGAGTCAGATGGACATTTTGAGAAGCTGTTTGTAATGTTTTTTAATACTTCTGTGTGCCCAAAATCCTGTGAACATTCCCTACAAAGAGAACTTAAATCATTAATACATAAACTAAGCTTCTGAATCGCTAATGCTTCTTCAAGATTAAAAGCCTTAGTCGAGTAACAAATGTTATCATTAAGACTGAGTTCATTAAGCTTATTAAGTCCTGCGAATGCTGTAGAGTCGATATGGTAAATTTTGTTGTTATTAAGCCAAATTTTTGTCAAGTTTGGATTATTTTGGAATAAATTAGGTTCAAGAACAAGCAGTTGATTGTAGCTCAAGTCCAAATACTCTAATTTTTGGAATTTAATTAAATTCTTTGACGAGATTTTCCTTAATTTGCTGTCTTTAATCACAATAACCTTAAGATTCGGGAAACGAATTGCAATATTTTCGGGAAAATAGAAAATTTCTTTCTTTTCTGCTTCAAAACCTTCAATTGTTCCTGGTTTGTCAGCACATGTGATAACTATTTGAGCATTTTCGTCTTTAATTGTGATTTCATCTGCAACTTTACATCTTATGATGTTCTTTAGGTCTGCATATTTATGAAAATCATAGACACATTTAATGACGCTTACTTCACTTTTTGATAAGCTAGCGAAAAAAAGCAAGAAGAGCCTGGAAATGATTAGAATCGAATTAAAAATAAAACTTAATTTAACTTAATCCAGAGTTGCGAAAGAGGCCTTCTGTGACAGGTGAGAACCGTTCAATTCCTTGATCATTTGTATGGTTTTGTTAGAAAAACCTTATAAATTATCAAGGAATTGTAGGGTTCTCACCTGTCACAGGTGCCTGTTTCGCAACTCTGATTTAATCTATAAAGATAGACCGAAAGAAGGCACACAGCGTCAAAATAAGTTTCAATCTAGCGTCTAGGATGGAATTTATGTAGAACCATGAATTTGGTGAAATCCGGCCTGGATTCGCGTTAATTCCGTCCTGGATGTCAGATTGATAGCCGTGCCTTTCGTGTAAACTCACAATTTCTCATATTTTTCCATAATATCAACAAAAATCAGCCAAAAAATAACAACTTTAAAGCTCAAATCCCCAAAAGACTTTATTTTATGATTACATTCATAAAATTATTAAGGGATCGTTCACTTATGACGTCCGAAATTAACAGTCATTTTTCATAAAAGAACAATGGATTTATAGGAATTTCTATTGTTCTTTTCTTTCGAACCCTCCCTCCCCCCCGTGGACGTCATAAATGAATGGCCCCTAATTATTAATATTGAAAAAAAATTCATTTGAGTCATCAATTGACTCACAAAGGAGTCATTCATACAGTCACACTTCGTACGTTTGTTTGTTGCCTACTGAATAAATTGGTGACTCCACTTGACTCACTGCATCTTCCTTAATCTCCTTCATCATTTCTATTTCTAAGTAGAAATCTTCAGGAGCTGTTGGTATAGCTTCTGCATAACTTGCATTGCTGTATAAATTTTCTTGTATTTTTCTGATTGACGGACTTACATTTGAATTGGAAATAATTCTTGATTGACTATTTTTGGCTCTTGAATTGGATGTTCTTGATTTTGATTTGCTGAATGGCTTTTTGGTGGCTTTAGTTTGACTTGGCTTCCTGTAAAGAATCATACGAAGTGTTAGATGAAGTCCAATAATCACAATGCTGAACAGCAATGTCATAAACATCAGCTTAAGCTTTAAACTTCGATGACTCAATTCACAAAGCTTGCTCGGCTCTTCCATCACTTCCTGCAAATGTGGACAAATTGAAGAATTTTGAAGTTTTTGAGCTACAACTTGAGCATTGCCTGGAATCTGTCCTAAACTTGGATAGCAATTTTTGTTGTCACTTAAGTCAACCTTTTTAAGATTCTTGAGTCCATTGAATGCTGTTGGGTCGATGTAGCTGATGATATTTTTTTGTAGATGAATCTCCTCTAATTTTGGGTTGAACTTGAATAGATTTGCTTCTAAAATGACTAGATTGTTGTTACTAAGCTCCAAGTACGTGATGTGAGGAAATCCTTTCAAATTCTCAGCCGTAATCTTCCTTAATTGAGAGTCTTTGATCCACAACAAAGTCAATTCCGGAAAACATTTGTCAATTCCGAGTGGAAAATAGAAAATTTGACTTTTAAACATCGAGAATCCTCTGACATCCGTGAACTGCTTTGCATTAGAAATTTCGACATGTGTGTTCTCGTTGTGAATGACTTGATCACTTATCTCGCAGCTTCGTGCATTTAAAAGTCGATGGTTAAAGTAACATTGCATTTGGAGGGAGCCAGCATGAGATGCAGCACAAAATGTTAAAATGATGAATCTAAAATAGTTCAAATTATGTAGACTTAGCTTAATACCCCAAAAAGTTGCACATTACAACATGATTTTACCAAATCCAGCTTATAGGTCGTTCACTTATGACGTCCATCAAAAACCTGATTTTTAGATCCCCTCCCCCCCTCTGTCACAAAAATTCTATAGAAAAAAATTTCCATTGTTTGAACTGTCACAAAATCCTAGACCCCCCTCCCCCCTTAAATGTCGGACGTCATAAGTGAACGGCCCCTATCATTCTTTAATAAAATACTTACAAGCACCAACTGTTGTCCATTTTTTTAAACTTTTACATTCGACTGTTTTTTTTTGTCGAAAATTTTTCATTTAAACAGTTCGTGACAAAATTAGTCAGAATAAGTCAACTCTTTAGTCAGCATTTTATTACTAATCATATAGGTCAGAAGTGCGCAACCTTTTTTGTGCCACGGCACTCCTTGATGGTAAACTTTGACTGAACCGCACACGGCATTCGGTTTTTTCAATTTTTCTAGGCACACTAGTGTACCGCGGCACATGGGTTGATCATCACTGATAAAAGCTACTGGAAAATAAGCAATATATTCATGAATTGATCCTCTAAGCATGATAATAATAATTTATTGACACTTTATTAACAAATTTATCTATATATAGGCAGAGGGGGGGGGGGGGAGAAGGGATATGAAATGGTGGACAAAACCCCCGACGTTAACAAAAAATTCTTCATTTTGCTAGGAGTTTGATAAAATAATCATAAAAATCCCCTCCTTCCATCTGAATTTTCCATATAAATTCCCCCCCCTCTTCAAATTCTTGGCTACGCCCCTGCAAGGTTCACAAGGCTTCACATTTCTGCATACACACACTCATCCTTGTCATCATCAATCTCATTCTTGCCACGACTATCGCGAATTGGAATTTCTGCATAAAAATCTTCGCAAACTTTTGCCTTTGTGCTGACTAATTCCTCATAATTTGTGACTTCACTGTACAAATTGTCAATTTTAATGCCATTTAATGGATTATAAATTAAGTTTTTGTTGACTTCCTCGTAGCGGATTACAGAAAGTTCTGTGTCGCTGTTGACATTTGTGGTAATTTGTGAATTCTTGCGTATTTTAATCAATAATGCAGCATTAGTTCCAATGAGTAGGATGACTAAGACGATGATTATCATAACTAATTTAGTCGTGTTGCTGCTGCTTATGCTGTTTGAATCGAACATAATGTTGTTATTTTTCAAATAGATTACAATTGAACTGCCACTTTTTGTCTCGAATTCGGTAATATTATTGCCATCAAGTGATACATTCTTTAAGTTTGTAAAGCCTTCTAAGTCATTTAACGAGAATTTTTTAATTGTTGAATTGGAAATGTTTAAAAACTGAATAAGTTCAAAAAATTTATCGATATTACACGGAAAACATGGCAGCCTGCTGTTACTAATTGTAACTGTTATCATAATCTTCTGAGCGTCCGTAATTTCCAATCTGTCATCCTCTCGTAGCGTCAAATCTTCAATGAGGCATGTATCTTGTAGAGATGAATCACATGAGTGACGAATAGTTTTTGATTTAGCTTGTATTATTGCACAAAGTAAGGCACAAATAAATCTAAAAATGCAGTTAATTTGACCTTTGGAATCTGGTCTTTTTAAAAATAATAAAACTTACAAATTTAATTTTTGATCCATCGACTTAAAAGCTTTACTCCTTTATATGATTTTTGAAATATGCAGTCTGGTCATATGTTCTATAACTAAGTCAATGAGTAAGCATATAAAACTATTAAAATGTATCATTTAGCATAGAGCTCGAAGTCGTCTCGAGTTGACTCGAGTCAACCCGGGTTTTTTCAAGAAAAGTTGAGTCGACTCGGTTTCGAGACTTCGAGCTCTGATTTAGCATGAATAGATTTATGAACTCATTCATGGCTAGGCTGTCGAACCTCTGTTGAGTCAGACAATCACGCTTATTTGAACCTATTTTTTTTGGAAATTGTTTTAAAATTTGATCTGTCCCACTTTTTGTTTCCTACTTTTTGACCAAAAATCCGAATAAAATCTATTGACAGCCTATTCATAGCTTACATTTTGAAATTTAGTCTAAATGACGGTTTTGTGTCCACTTTGGCTGTTATTGCTTTTATATTCTTATATTCTTATATTCTTAAGGGAACATTCACTTATGTCGTTCATAAAAATTACAAAAGTCCAGACGAACGAACGAACGAACGAACATTTCTCATTATTAAGCTCCCTTTTTGTATACAAGTATACAAAAATGCGCTAAAAAACATGATTTTTAGACATCCTCTTCCCTTTTGTCACAAAACTGTCGCAGATGACATTCCCCCCCCCCCCCCCCCCCCCCCCCCCCCCTCCCATTTGTGACGTTCAATCAAAGTATTCGTGATTTAAAAATAATTTATTTCCTCACTGCAAAATTATATGCTACAAATTTTCTGACTCCCCTCTCCCCCGTCCTATCACAATGTGTCACAAAATCCTGGAACCCCTCCCGCTAAATCTCGGACGTCATAAGTGAGCAACTCCTAATCAAGAGTGTTTAAATAAGAAAACTCAAAGGTCGGTTTTAAATCCTACCATCGGAACCCTCCTAACCCTACTCTGGATTTTTGCATGGATTCCTCTAGAATATCTTTAATTTAGGTTCCCTAAGACAAGGTGCGTAGCCAGGAGGGTCTTGTCCCCCTCTTAAGCGTTTTAGACCGTGCTCTCGCTTCAGATCAAAACCTTTATTGGGGAAACAAGACCCTGCTGGCTACGCACCTGCCTATGACGCAATGTAGGATACCCTAGGGTACTCTAGAGAGGATATAATTTTTCAGCAAATGCGCTTCTGTACCGCAAACATTTTTTACTTATTTTATTATTCATTACATAAAGTGATACATTACAATGACTTATTATTTTAGTTTTAAAAATAAGAGTACGTATAAGAGTACGCAAAATATGACTTTATATCCCCCCCCCCATCCCTCTACGTCCCCCCTCGTTATAAAATTTATAAAAAAAAAAATTTCTTTTGTTTGAAATGTCACAAACTTCTTGACCACCATCCTCCTTCTCCCTGACACCTAATAGGTCCTGTCTCATCTTAAACCTTCTCATCACTTTCCGTCTTGTAAGCTAAAGACCAATCAGTCTGAATTTCACTTTGCTCTTCATCAAGAATGTCATCAAAGCTTCCAACAGATTCAACCGCTCGGATCTGATCAGCCTGAGACTTGATCTTCAATGGGACGTCATGCTGATGATCTTCTTCAATTTTTCCTGGATGCACGGACCTCCTTAACGTTGTCATTTCCTTCATCCGATCATAATCTGAGCTTTTAACAACGATCGTCTTTAAAGTTTCAGTTGGTTTTGGCGTTTTTCTGCAGCACATACAGCATAGAAGTAGAATGAAGATAAGAGTCATGACTCCGCAGTGGACTAATGTGACGTCAAGTGATGTAAATGGAACTGGAATGATTGATGACATTTTGATGTTTAGTGAGTCTGCGATGTATGAATCAGGCTTGGTTGATGTTGTTGTGTCTTCTACTGGATGGACACTAATGTTGAGTTTGGATAGTTTTTCGATGATGGAGTTGAAGTCCTTGTTCAAACTAATGACGTGTGATTCTAGACTTGACATTGTGATTAGTTTTTTTTGAAGTTCCTCAATTTTTTCTGATAATTCGTGTTGGTTCCAGCATGTGATGCTGACTTTTTTGAAGATTGTTGCGACCTCAATATTATCAAATTTACCATCAAAGCAGATGTTGTCCTCCAGATCTAGTTTTTTAATCATTTGTAGGCCAATAAGAGCCGATGGATGAATTTTGTTGATTTGGTTGTCATTCAGCTGGATTTCCGCAAGATTTGTATTATTTTGAAATAAATCTTTGTCCAATTCCTGAATCTCATTTCCACTCAAATCCAAAAACACCAAACTTGTCATGTTTTTGAAATTATCTGCCGATATTTTTTTCAACTTTGAATTAGCGATTTGAAGGCCTTTGAGGTTCGGGATGCTTTTTTGTATTCCATCTGGAATGTACCAAATTTCTTGATCTTTTATCGAAAAAACGCTCATTTCTGAAGTTGTGTCGGTAATTTTGATTGTGGCATTTTCATTTGTAATTTCTAGATAGTCATTAATGTTGCATGCTGATACCTTATTTAGAGACCCGACAGTAATGATTTTATTTTTATTCTTGCATTTTAGATCATGCGTTTCACATGCTGATTCATAAATCGTGAATAATATGAGAAGAAGTAATCTGTGATTGAACAAAATAATTAAAAAACAATTAAAATTGTTGGAAGTTCGACAAATTAAGCATTGCTTACCTTTTTGACACCATTTTGAATCAATTCTGACTACTTTTTATTTAAACGATCCTCAATTTAACTACAAAATCATCTAAATGAGTAAAGTTATGATTAGAGATTGAAATAATAAATCTGTGTATGAATGTTTTTTAAGCTACAATTGAACTAGTTTGGGGCTGTTCAGCTATTAAGTAACGGGAAGAGAAGAGAGGGAGGGCAAGTTTAATATTTTGTGATGAAAATATTTTTCAGTACAAATTTCTAGCAAGAGGGGGAAAGTCACATAATACGTTACTTAATAAGCAAACAGCCCCTTCAAAAATGATGTACATCATGTAATCAAGCTCATGATGACGGTTATTGGACAAGCTGTGGAACTTAAGTGTAGAAATAAAGCTCTCTTAAATAGCACAAGTCGGTTAATTGAATACAAATCTGAAGCCAAGCTGGTATGACTCTGTCATTGTGCTGGGTACGATTTGAATCCAGGAGCATGTCAGAGTAATACAGGCTTTGTGCCAGAGTCATCCAGGCTTTGTGCCAGAATTTTGATCGATTAACAGACTTATGCCATTCGGGTCTATGTACAACAATGTTGAAGATTATCTGAGGGACAGAGGCGTAGCCAGGAATTTGAAGAGGGAAGGACAAAAAAAATTTATATGGAAAATTCCATATTAGTCCCCCATTTCCACCCCCCCCCCCCTGGTTACGCGCCTGCTGAGGGATAATTTAGGTTCCTTAATGAAGCTCTAGAAACTAGAACCTGGTTCAATGTCAATCCCTTTTCGATTGGATGGGATTTCTGATAGTTTTATTTATGAAAAGGAATTTTTTTGAACCTCTTCTTCTTTTCCCTCCCATCCATTCCCTCTCCAGTACACCCTCCATATGAAGCTATTGGAACAATTTGTTCCAAAAACCTCAAATCATTTGTTCTTCAGATATGATTTAGCTCTGCAACTTTTTTATGCTCCAGCCCAGCTTCAGCTATTCTGAGGGAAACTTCGGAAGGAATCAGCTACTAGATGGTTTGATCCTAGATAGCACAAGTCGGTAAATCGATCAGAAATCTGGCACGCTCCTGGATTCAAATTGTACCCAGCGCAATGACAGAGTTATGTCAGCTTGGTGTCAGATTTCTATTCAATTAACCGACTTGTGCTATTTGGGAGAGCTTTATTTCAGTTAAGTTGGTGTGGCTTTAGAGTAGAGCTGGATTTATATCGAACCCAGCTCGTGGATGAAGCCGAGCTGGGTTATGCTAGTTTTGCTCTTGGATGAACTGTAGCTCGGTTCGATTCAAATCCAGCTCGACGCTATAGTCATGCTGGCTTGAAATTGGATTTTTGATCGAATAATGGACTTGTGATTTCTGGGGATTGGTCTTTTGCCTTCACACCCAATTCTAAACTGAACATTCATTTGGTTTTTATGGCTGCATAGTCTAGCCTAAGGTTAGACAATTAATAAAACATTAGACATCATTTACAATTGAGTCACATATTTAATCATCAAAAAAAAGAACTAATTTGAGAATTTACAGTATTTTCACAAAACATTAATCATTCATGTCTGACTATTAAAGTTTGAATCATCTTGATTTCTTAAATGACAAAACCTAATTATGTGTTGCTCAACTAAACTAGCTTTCTTGGTCTTCCTTATTGAAGCTAATGACAATGTCTTCAGCTTCTTGATTTCCCTCAATTTTAACTTCATTCTTTGTGACATTTTCCTCCTGATTTTCCTGATTTACATTTGAGGTTCTTGACATCCTAACACTCATCCTATATTGGAACCTTTTGTTACATCTAGCGAATAAAAAGGCAATTATAATGATCAGGAACAGTAAAAAGGTCACAATAAGGCTGAAAATTTGAAAATTCTTTGTGCTTTCTGGAGTCTTGCCAGATGTTAGGTTTGTATCGATTGAATCATTAGCATAGCTACATAAAGTTGTCCAATTAAGTTCTGCTAAGCTTGATCCAATACTATTTGGATCACTAAATCTCAAATCAGCACAAATGTTGTCCATTAAACCTAAATAAATGAGTTCCTTGAGATTTTCAAAGACTTTTGGGTGAATCTGCTTAATTTTGTTGGAATCAAGGCTCAGAACTTGAAGATTTGGATTGAAAACGAACAAATTTTCCTGTAAAATTTCAATTTCATTTCCTGTCAAGTTGACAACCTTCAAAAGTGGAAATGGCTGAAAATCTTCTGATACAATTGCCTTCAATTCTGAATTTGTGATTGACAAGACGACAAGATTTGGGATGAATTTGTCGATTCCTTTCGGAATGTGCTGAAATTTCATGTTTGCTGCTGTAAAGCCAGTAATATTTTGTGGTGGAATCGTTGTAAAGTTTAGGGAATGTTCATCAATGCCGTCAAGTACTTGAAGGAAGTTTGTTACTTCACAAACATTTGTATTGTCTGAATATTCAATTAAGATGGCTTTATATGAACATGACACATTGACTGAGCTTGGTTTGATGTCATTGGCATTTGAAAAAGCAATAAAAATTGACAAAAATCTAGAAATATTTCATTATATCTTCAAAATATTGAAAAATTGTGTGTTTTAAAACTTACAAAATTGAAATAATTTTCATCTTAACTGGATTTGGCTCTGGTCTTTGAGATTCTCTTTAGTAATCTTTGTATTGTTTGTTTATTTGAAACTAAAATGTTATTTTATAGAATGAAGCTAATGAAAACTGATAAAATGATTCAATTGGCATGAGTAGCTTCATGATTTTATTATTTGTAACTCATTAAATGTTGAACTAAAATTATGATACAAAAATCAAAATAAGAGCCTAAAGCCTTTAGGCTTCTTTGAGGTGAAGGATCTGGTTTCTAGATCTACCCGGGACATAATTGAATTTCGATCAGAGTTGCGACGACAGGTGCCTGGTACAGATACAGGTGACAAGTCCTGTCAAAAGATCACCTTTCGCAGGCTGTCAACTGTTGCACAGGTCACCTGTTGACAGATCTGTCACAGATCACCTGTTAAAAGGCAACTGTTGACAGATCTGTCACAGATCACCTGTTAAAAGGCAACTGTTGACAGATCTGTCACAGATCAACTGTTAAAAGGCAACTGTTGACAGATCTGTCACAGATCACCTGTTAAAAGGCAACTGTTGACAGATCTGTCACAGATCAACATATGGCCTGTTAACAGGTGACCTGTCAAACAGATGGTGACCTGTGACAGATTGCAACTCTGATTTCGGCGAACCTTAATGTGGGACTCAAAAAAAAAATTAACCTGAGACTAGGTTAGGGTCAGGAGCGTAGCCAACTAAGTTACATATTGAGTAAGTGTCCACTTGCTTCATAAAGACCCTCCGGCTACGCCTCCTAGGAAGGGGTTCTTCGAGTAGCCACAGAAACCAGACCATGCCTTACACTTTTAAATTTAATTCATTTTTGATGCGTCTGACCGTAAATAAAGTTTTCAGATGCTTCACTTTTGCTGTCACATTCTGCTGGTTTTTGAATCTCTAAATAAAAGTCACTGCTGCTTCCACTGTAAACTCCCTCAGAGTCATTTTGGCACCCATACACAATTTCTTCATATTGAACGCTTCCCGTCACTGTTGAATTCATTACTTGTGATTCAATAGCTCTGACTGGAAGTTCTTCGTATGTGTTGTTGTTTGGAGTGTTGTCGATGACTAAACTTGGGATTACGATGTTGCTTTCTAGTTTGAATATATTTGAGGCTTGTGATACTTTTGTGGATGACTCATTGATGCATAATGTAAAGAATTGTGAAATCCTCTGATTTTTACGTAACTTGGGAACAAAGACAATCAGGATAAAGGCAATGATTAAGATTGCATTGTAGGTTGACAGTTTGCCTTTAATTTCATTTTCTAAATCAATTCGATTGATGATCACTTCGTAGCCTCTCATTTTGCAAGATTCACTGATGTTGTCTACAAATCTTCTTACTTCTGCTTGTGCTGTTATATTTGTATTAATGCAGGTATTATTAGTAAGACTTAAATATGCAAGGTTATTAAGATCATCAAACACTTTTGGGTTGATAAATTTAATTCTATTGCTATGCAGGATTAACATCTTCAAGTGCTCATTCATGGCAAATAAATGTGAATCTAAATTCTCAATTTTATTCCACGACAAGTCCAGAACCAGCAAATTAAGAAGGAAATTTAAATTTTTAACAGAATTTTCAGACAAACTTGAGTGCGTTATTGCCAAGATTTTAAATGTCAATCCTACTTCATCCTCAAATATTGGCACAAATGACAAATTCTTATTATTTGCAGTAAAACCAGCAAGACTTGACTCTTGCCTATTCTGACTAGATTCAAATTTTAAAATCACACTTTTGTAGTTTTCCGGAATTTTTAAAGTTGTGTCGACATTACAGACAGCTAATCCTTTGGCATGAACGTACTCATTGTTAAATTCCAGTATGCAGTCAATGTTGTAGAATTGATTTAAATCAATAAAGGGAATGTCAATCGACAAAATGAATAAGGAACTGAAATTATGAGTCAATTTGAAATTAAAATTAAAAGTATTAAAAAATTGTTTAAACTTACAAAATGACTAGTTTTAGTTCCATTTTCGACAGCGAATAGAGCACAAATGATGATATGATTAAAAAGCTTGGGAAATTACTCATCAAATTAATGAGATTTGTATTATAAAAGGATGAATCAGGAGGATGGGGAGTGGCTGACACGAAAAATAACCAAAACCTTAAACAAGCTAGCGCCTTTGCAATACTCCCAATGGGGCCTTCCTTATTTTCAATCTCGCCTATAAACTGACAAGCAATTCCTGTACTTTATCGCCAAATACTATATCCTCAATTGCTAATGTCTTGATTCTAAATCTTATCAGCAGCTCTGCCTTCAACATGTGATGAACTTCAGTGGCATCATCTTCGTCATTGATTGGATGAACTTTAGCGAATTTCAACTTTTTAGGTTTCGTCACAAATCTCACAAAATGTTCAGCAACATGTCCAACAAGAGACAAA